AACATCATCAACAACAACATCAAATGAGGTTCCGATAAACAAGCCATCATCCCATCGTAGGCGCTTTCCTTATCTCAATCAAGAGAACAATTCATTGAAATTCCAAAAATGATTACGGAGATGACGATGAAAATAATGACGATGATGATAATAATAATAATAAGTATGATGATGTTGATGGTGATGATGGTGGTAGTGGTCACGACGATGATGATGTTGCTGTTCAAATGATTAAAACACCAAGATTTTAAAACTTCGTTTCATTGAATTTCCACGTAGAGTGAGAAACAAAACGGAAAGAACGTTTTTTACGACGACTTCATCACCACCAACAACATCATCAACATCATCATCATCCTCAACAACATCATCATCATCATCCTCACCACCATCACCATCCTTACCCACATCATCAACATCCTCCTCACCATCATCATCATCAATATCATCACCGAGAACAAAATTAATAACATTTTTTCGAACAGGTTTATTCATTTGAATTAGATGGATTGAATACGAGAAAGAGTGCAGATCTTAACTAACCAGTGCACGGACCGTTGGTATCAATCGATGAACTCTGACAACAGGAAATAAAAGTAATTAAATATGTAAAAATTAACAAATAATAATTAACAGTAATTTTTGGATTTTTTAAAACACTGTAGCTTCAAAAATGTGCCCGGACTAGAAATTCATAATGGTAATTTTTTTTGTTTAATTTTTGTTTTTCCAACACAAAAGATACACGTACAGTACACTGAAGAATAGCAAACACATAAGAAGAGCACAACATGCACTAACATCCCACACCAACCAAAGAACGTTGGAGGAGGTGGCCTGTTAACACATCCATCTTGAAAATGAAATTCTGATCACATGTATTAGTACAAAGTTGAAGAAACTAACGTACACTGAAGAATGGAGTAGGCAACGCAACAGAAACAAAACGCACACACAACACACGCGTGTACGTATTGTTGTACAGACCGTTCACATTTCCAACATGAAAAGATGATTACGAATATTGCACGTCTAAAAATAATAACTAAAAACTTATTATTCTCAATAATACATTGACAACAATTAATTATCGAAAATATATCCGAAATGTTTTATTGATTTTTTTTCGTGTCACGCTTACAACATGCAACTGTCGTAGATGTCTTGTATGTGTGTGTGTGCGCGCGCGCGTCTGCATGATATTTTTGGTTAACAGATTCAACTTTAATTAATCAAAAGACTTTCAGACAACATCGTCCTTTGATGCAGAGAGTCTCGCTCTTTTTGCCAACGTTGGTTTCATCCACGTTTCATACATGCCCCTGAAGACGGCTGTAGTCTGGCAGGCGACCGATACTGCATAACGCACACCTCAGCCGCACGTCAACAAGTTATATTATTATTACTTCAATGCTAATTAATCTCCAATTCGAGTGAATACGCGTGAACCTAAGCGGCAAACCCCTGGAACGTAAAATGCAGGTTTCTTTCATTCGATCGGAACACCATACAGCAGAACCAGACGGAGCAGTAGAACCAGACGGAGCAGCAGAAACAGACGTCTCACCTCTACACCACTTGACTATCATGTCGTAGCATACAGCGTAGCATGGTAAACAAACTTGGAAACAGCACAAGAATTATGGAATAGAAGTCGATAAACTGCAGAACGAACAACTGAAATAACGAGAGGAAGTAAAGTTTCTGCTCAACTAAGTAAACAACTCAATAGAATCATCTTGTTAAATGACTGAATGAGAGGACACGATTAAGTCGTCCAGTCGAAAATAAAATTAAAATGCTGAAGTTGTTCATGCATTTAAGTGGATTGATCAGTGTCTTTAGGCGTACACTAGTGTGAATAACACGTTAGTAAGGATGCGTGAATGAGTGCATACGTAAATGAGATCAGTGGCAGGCAGTGCAAATATTATTTGCGCAACCATGCATGCGATCCAAGTTTGTGACGGGTAAACTGATGAACGAACGGAAAGACATGATAACGTAACTCGACCAAGTTGTAAGAACGTGATGACGCGCTCTTTGCCTGGCCGAATACACGAAACACTTCCAACATCGTCCCATTGACATTTATTTGAATCAAAATTAACGTTACAGTGTAATAATGGCAAATAAAATAAATAGTAATGACGATAGCTGCGATATAAATGACAATGAAAACCCACGATAATAACAATAATAATAACAGTAACACTAATAATAACAATAATAACAGTAATAATAGTTAACCACGTAGATGGAAACAAAGTAGAAACAAATAATATCTTCCATCAGGAAGCCGTTGACCTCAGCTCAGCCCACCACACTCGACCACCACAACTACAACTTGAAATTCGCACAACCTCATGCCTATTCATCATTATAACCATTTATACATCTTTAATTAGTTTTCGGGAAAATGGGTTTGGCAAAGTGCACACACACACACACACACGCACAAACGAGCAAGCAATCACACACTCAAGCAAACAGTCTCACACACACACACACACACACACACACACACACACACACAACACAGAATGCATTATTAGCCTCTCCGAACAAATGCAAACTCTGAAAGAAAAGAACTCCTCCAGGCACATGGCGTCCACAAACAACTACCAAAATAATAATAATGAGCGATCTCTTCAATTTTAATACTATAAAATGTTACTTGAATTATCAGACAAAGCTAACAACATAAGAAGATGCACCTACGTCAAGTATAAATTGAATAGATAGCTAGCAATGCATCGGGGATGTGATGATGAAAAAGTGATTAAGTGAGTGATGAAAACTTGTAACTGATGGAAACAATCATCGCCCGTGAAATCATGTAAACATGTAAACAAACGTGATGGATGACGTAATAAATAAACAGTCAATAAGGTGTAGAAAGTTTCATAAAACTTCCACACATTCAAACATTCATTCATCCATTCATTTTCCTACATAACCGATCATCTGCTCATTCGATTTTTTAGTGAATTAACAAATTAATTAATTCATTCATTCATTTTTTCATTAACCCGTTGAATCAATCATTCATTCCGTTTGTCCAACGAATTAATGAAATTTTTTTTAATTAGATAACAATCATTTTAATAGCGAGACATCAAAAAGTTGATAATTTATTTTCTGTTGTCCATTCGTTCGTTCGTTCGTTCGTTCGTTCACGTGTTCATTGACAAATTCATTCAACCTTCAAAACATTCATGCATACATGTATGCATGCACGAGTGGACGAATAAAACCAAACCATTAATTAATTCATTTATTTATTCATTCATTCATGCATACATTCATTCATGCATTCATTCATTCATGCATTCATTCATGCATTTATTCAGCAAAAAGCAAGCAAGCATGCAGCACAATTTATTTAATTCCTTGCATCCTCAACATCATCATCCCATTTCATCTTTCCCACCATCACATTTCATCCTCATCATCATCATCATCACATTTCCAAAAGATGGTTAACCATATCTAAACCACACCAACACCACCACTGTTGTAATTTATCAACACCACTTAACCCAACCATTACATCATCCCAACACCCCCTCATTTCATCAACCTCTTCACCATCACTCTTTGATACCATCATCATTTTTCATCATCATACCATCAACTCCCCAATAACTTCCTCACTACATCCACAACCACCATCATCATCATCCTCACCCCCCTTATCCCGTCCTCTTCATCATTACCACACCACCTAAACATCAGCCCATCCTCTCTACTACCACTCTCTCGACACCATGGCATCACCACACCCACCACGAGATGACGTCCACCACTACCACCACCACCACCACCACCACTCAGCTCAGTACGTGCTGCCTTCACTCGGTTGTGTCAGTTTGCAGTTTTCTTTCAGGGTCATCAATCTCCTTAGCTCCCTGAGCAGGTTGCATATCGTGTAGGTACTCAGCCAGTGCGTCAACATTTGCACGTCTTTCGGGTTCACCTGGTGTCGGCGGTGATAGCGTTGATGGTGGTGTTAAAGGACGCAAACGGCAGTTAAGCCATTTCCACTAATTACACAACATCATCCATTCATACAACGATTCATCCATCCATTCATCAATTCATTCATTTATTCATTCATTCATTCATTCATTCATTCATTCATTCCTTCATTCATTCATTCACTACAAATTTCAACAGTTGCACCTCCTCACAATTCATCCAAATGATAACAAAATCAATGAACAACTCTGTTGTGAGTGATATAAAGAAACAAACAGATGAACTGTGCAAATAAGTGAAAGAGAAATGAGATAGAAATGAAAATCTGCAAACTTTTCCATTTGACTCGACCCCCTTCATGTTGATCTTACTGAGGAACCAGACGTTTGGAGGTTTCTCGGGGTACTCTGTGCCGCACTCGATCCTAAGCTGATATATCCTACCTTCATATGCCGTCTGTTGTGTTGCAATCATTTTTTTAGAAGAACATCATCATTTGAATGTGTCATCGTATCAGGAATGTCTTATATACAAACAACTACTAGATAAAGTTTGCAGAAAGTTCTGCAGCTACTGCCAGTCTGCAGTTTATCTCTTAACATTTTACACAATTCAGCCTCATGAAGTACTTGATGACAGTTTTGAGGAAGGTTCTAATATGGTTTGGTATTTGCACTATTTGAATAATACTCAACCTACTTTCCTAGCACCAAATTGGTTTTGGTTGGAACTGAATCTTAATCGGTTAATTTAATTTTAGTTGAAACATCTATTAAGCACTGAAGATTAGGACATAGATTGTTGTGATTTTCAAAATAAGCCGGTAGTTAGTAACATTTTCCAAAGCAATAATTAGTCATGTGAAAAAATCATTGCTAACTCTCGGAGGTCCAAGGATCATGCCGTTCCAAATCCTCAAGTCCATGTCATCTTCTTTCTCGAGACCCCAACTGACACTGCCGTCGCCAACCCCCTTCTGTCCCTGTTCCAGTTCATCTAGAAGTCTGAAATTCCTAGGAACTGAAACAAATATTTTTCAATTAAAATAGTTGAATGGAAAATTAAGTCTCCCCAAACTCTATAACTCTGAGAGGCTGACTATAGGAAAGTTATGTTTACATGTCACACGCAAGCGACATTTCTCTTCTCTATATTAAGTGTATAATTTTGTACACACATATATCAAATCACATATTCATTCATTATACTTGTACATTCACATTCAGGATGCACATGTGAAGAAATAAGTGAGGCAGAGTACAAACTGTGGTTTATAGCAGTATTGCTCTCAATGCTATCGAGTGACATAAAACATCATGGAAACATTCAATTGATGTGTCAGTTACAGTACAAGGTTGGCTATATATCCGGTATGCATTTGAAAAACAATTTTTTTGTATTCATTGTTAACAGTTGAAAAAAAAGTTGTTTGGACTGTTGAATCAAGCATATTTTTAAATATTTTAAAATTTATTTTTAAAAACCAAAAGTTCTTCGGAAAGTAATTATAATTCTATGCTTCAGTCACACTCATAGTTCATTTACATTTTGGTTGTTTGTTGTGATTTTGAATAATGTTTTTAATTTATAAGCAGTTTTAGAGTTTGTGATATTTTATTAGATTTTGTAATTTTGATACCATGTATAACATTTTCAATGTTAAATGCTATTTTATTTTGTAAACCTTATTAAAAAGTTTACTACAATTGTCTAATACGGGTCAGACAAAGTGTTCAAACTCACTCTTCAATCAAAAGTTGAAAAAGTTATTTCAACATTTTCATTTTTAGTTCAGTATGAGCTCTCTCACTACTAAGACCTTATTATTTAATTTAAATTAATTTAAAGTTTAAATTTATAATTAATACTAAAAATCATTATGAACTTAAAATTATTTATTTTATAAAAACATTTAATTTACAATACTTTTTACTTTTCCAAAATAGCTTAAAAAACTTTAAGTTAAGTCTATATTTTGCATGTCAATAACAAATTTTTAATTTATTTAATTTAAATTAATTTAAATTAAAAGTATTTAAAATATTCATTTATCATACTGCCATCGGCCTGCTACACAATTAAAACACATTTTCACTCATTCTAAAATAAGACCAACCTCTAGTATAAAATATATTTAAACAAATTTAATAAAAATTTTTAATCATAGACAATGTGCACCCTGTTTTACTTTTTGTTTTTAGATAAAGAATTCGCACTTCCTAAAAACTTAGAATAGTTGAATCGCAAAAAAAAATAAAAACTTAATCGTAGTCAATAATCCGCACAAAATCACTGAAGGAATGTTCAAAGCTTAAATTAAAAGTTAAAATTTGTAGGTGAACAAAAAACCTGTGATAGAAGCCATGTTTGTTTTTGAGTCAATCTAACAGCCACACACGATCGCACTCACATCCTCTCACTAATAGCTGATCTAGCTGATTATTCCAATATAAAAAGTTGACTACCATCTTTATATAGAATGAATAAAAAAAGCAAAATCTTACTTATTTCTAAACATCTCAGGCAAGAAGAACTTCTCCAAAAGCTCCTGACACCAACGTTCGCCTTATAAAATTTACTAAAGTTCTCAGCGAAGTTTAAACTTTCACTTTCGTCAGTAGGAATTTGAAACGACAATATAAAACTTTAAATTAAATTCGAAATGTTGAAAAATACATGGTTTCCACACGACAGTATGTTATATCAATTAATTGAATATCATTTTTAAATTTTTTTTTCGAAATAAGAAAATTTTTTAGTTTTTGAAGGGCAAGTGAAAAATTGTCTCTAGGTTTAGTTACACAGTTTTTCTACATTTTCTTCTTATACGTTCATCAATCGGACGTTTTGTTGTAGTGTGTTTGTAATATGATCAGGACATTTTAAACGCATGTCTCACACCATCAATCACAATAAGCAGAATAAAATACTTTAAAGACTTTAAAATTGGAGCAACCTGAGAAGGAAAGTGCGAAAAAAAGATTTTTTTGAAGCTTCTTCATAATATTTCAGCACAGCACCAAAACAGAACCTTTCGATTCATGATTTGGTTAAATATTAGAAATAAATTCGAAGAACTCTTTTATTTTTAATACTTTTGTTTCAAAGAAAGTACTTCATTTCTTTGTTGTCCTCCTTGGTTGCTCAAACAAGTTGGATAATTCAAATGTTTGTAAGGTGCATACTGATATTGTATTTTCTGTTTAGTTTTCTACATAGCTAGGTTGACAAGAAGTTATTTTAATCATCACCTTCGTCTTAATTAACATCATGATCTATTATTCCGGTAATCATCGTCATCATCAACATCTTCAGGATCATTATCAATATCTTCAACATTTTCAGTATTTTCATCATCAGTAACATCATTTTCTTAATCACCACAGGGCCGGATTAAGCTTTCACCGGGCCCTAGACAATATACTGAATCCGGCCCTCATAAAGAAGTGAAATATATATGTTAAATTTCCACTATAGTTTTCACAATTTATTAGTCAATATATACAAACATGATAAAAATTTGTTCTGTTTTATTAATTATTTACATTTTTTTCTATTTTTTTTTATCACAAAATTTATCTGTCTTATTTGTCAATTGGTTAATCCGGGCCTGCATCATCATCTTCATCATCACCATCTTCATCATAACCATCATCAGCGATCTTATTGATAAATAAATATAAATTATAGGATTTGAGAACCATCAAAGAAAACGAGTGCATTGACACCTTATCATCATCTTCGTTATTTTTTACTTCATCATCATCATCATCATCTTTGTCTTCATCGTTATCTTCTTCATTACATCGCCATCATCCATCTTCATCATTATCATCTTTTTCGTCATCATCGTTATCATCGTCGTCATATCCTTCTTTGATACTACAAACATCATCAACGCCATCATCATCGTCGTCGCCATAATCATCTTCATCAGCAATTTCTGCTTCGTCATTATCTTTATCATCACCACCATTATCATCGTTAAGGCCATTGCTGTTCATTGTTATTTCTTCAATAATTTCCATCATTGTTTGTTTTTACACGTATTTGTTGCACTAGCTTGTCTGGTAAAGAGCGCTTCAGTTGTTTGTCCTTAGCGCTATATAAGTTATTATAATTACATACACTTTCTACTTTTAATTTTTATTGAAAATCTCGTGAACACTCAAAACTTCTTCACCCCAAATAAACTGTGACTATCATGATTTAAAAAAAAAAATTTTTCCATTCACATTCCTATGTTGGCTGTTACTGTCTTAGTTAAATTTTTTTTATTTTTCATTACTGATTTTTTAAATAATTAAAAACATTTTTCCTTTCTTCAAAATTTTATTTCTATTCCAACAAAATAAAATAAAAATTTATGAAAATTTTTAGTTTCATCTTAAAGTATTTTGGTGGTTTGAATTTCTGATTAGTAGGGATACAAGAACCAGCATGTTTTCATTCTGTCTTTTCGTGTTTTCAATTCACTGAGAAATATTTGTAAAAATGACGTCCTTTGTTTTACAAACCACGTTGTCGACGCCGTCAATGAATGTGTGCACGAAATTTTTCCCTCCGCAACTTCCCAACTGCTTATCACTGACGTAAGGCACAAAAGCATAATGATCAAACCAGTACAGGAACAAGCCAAACTTCGAGATGTATTGATGAGGTGATTGTTTGGGAATGAATGAATTGGTGGGGGGTAGTTTGTTCCAATTGTGGAAACGTTGTGTCGGGTGTGTTAAAGTGCGCAATGAATTGGTGGAGGGTGAAGTTTTACATTGTAGTGCTGAGGAGAAATGCAGCTGAACGTTTGAAATGTGACGCCTTAAAAATATTGAACAAATAGAAACACAACTTCCCACCGAATGAAAATTACTTTTAAAACTCATTGCTGTCAGAAGGTATGAAAAAATGCTAAAATTATACCCAGCGAAGTTTTTTTGCACCAGCTGTAAGTGTTGTTACGAACTTCGAGACCATATCCCCCACGTAAGCGCATTGAACAGTCTGTTGAAAGTTATTCAAAATATATCAATGCAGCATGAACATGAAATTTTGAAGCAAACTAACGAGGTTGTTGTCAGCAGTTTTTGAAATATAATATGGAACGTTGAACTCTAATTGGTTTCCCTTGCTATCAATGGTCAGATTTTTACTGAATGCACTTGGACACTTGCCTGCAATCAACATCATTTGGTAAATTAAATGCAAGTCTGCTGAATAAGTATTCATTAAAATAATTACAAACCTCTTACAATTTGATTCATTATATACTGTTAAAACCTCGTATAACGTGATCGATTTGATATTAATAATAATTTAAAAAATGAGAATGTAGATTTGGAACCTACCTGGATAGAGTCAGCAGAGCATTGGAGCACTGCCAACAAGCAGACCACCAACAGGCTAGAAGCAGGAAACATTGCTATCGACCGCAAAAATCTGATCACTTCGCAAAAAGTACTAATTAATTTGTATTGTAAGTTTTCAATAACGAACAAATTTGAATATGCCAGCACAAATCAGGGCTTACTTATAGAAAGTTTTGTACAACTGGCACAAATATTTTTAATAATTTACGATGGGCACGAAATGAAAACAAATCAATACGTCCATACCTCAATGGCAAACTTGCGTGGGTTTTGAAGAAAGAAAATTAGTGGTATGAATTCCGTGTTTATTTTTATTTGAATTTTCGATTGGAGTTTGATGGGCTCAATTAAATATTTTAGTATTTGTTGGCCGTGTTATTGATCGTTTTGATGGGATGTGTTGATGATGCTGGTGATGATGGTATGTTGGTGATGATATCACCTGTTGGTGATGGTCTTGATGACGATGATGATTATGTGTGTTATTGTGGTGTTGAAGATTTTGAGGTTGTTTTGGTCGTGATTTTCATAATGAAGATTTTGAATAATGCATATCACTTAAGAGCTATTAAATAAAAATTGTGATGACGATGATGATTGCGATGACAACAAAGTGGTAGTGATGCTAGTTTTTTAACTAATTATAATGAAAAAAACGAGGATGGTGGTGGTGGGAACGATGCTGATGATGATTTTGTTAATGATGATGAGGATGAATATGTTGTTGTCGAATGTGATGATGATGCACATTATTGTGGTGTTGAAAAATACATAGTCAAAATAGTGAAAAATACATAGTCAAAAATTCAAGCGTCATTAAATAAAAATTGTTTGCAATGGCGATGATAATTTTGAAGACAACAAGATTTAATGGAAGCATTGATAATGACGTTGAGTTTTTAACATTAATTCTTACAAATGATGATGATAATGATTGGTTATGATGACGATGATGGTGGTGATGGTAATGGTGACAATGATTATGATGAGGTTGACGTTCTTGCTAATAACTCAATCGACAAGATGTTGACGACCAGCAAAATATTTTTAAAGATGGTGTCAATAAACGGCTCAATAAAGTTGAATCGCATGTTCTGAATGAACGCTCAAATTTGCGATCGAGATATCGATCGAAAAAACTTTGTTGGTCTTTGACCTCGTTTCACAAACATTAGCAATTCTATTTTTGTAATCATTACATTCACAGTCGTTCGTTCTATCAAGCAAACATGATTTTTTTCGTTTCTCTAAAAAGCAAACTTTTTCACGACGAAAGACACTGATTAGTAACAAATAAATGTTTACATTCACAAGGGAACCCAAAAGTTCGAAGAAATAGGATTGGCGTGTAATAATTGTCTGAATTATTTTGTCAGGTTTGAAATAAAGCAAAAATGCTTTCCAGAGACAATATTTTATGATGAACTGGCCAACGGCTTAAAATATGTCAGTTATGCAAAAGTTTAAGATGCGTGCAAACAAGACATAAAAGTTCGACACAAATTTTTCGAAAACACCTGGCTGAATATTGTCCATTTTGGAGTAGATTCGTACTTAGCATTACATAAAGCGGCAAGAAGGCATTGGAAACAGAGTCATAACTAAAAGAATCTGAAGAAAAAAGTGACTTCAAACTGTAACAGTCTCCGATTTCAGATGTATCACATGTAGACTTTTTTGTAGTTTCAGGTCAGGATAAGTCTTCATAGTCATTAATAACGCAGCTTTGTAAAGAGCAGTAGATGTGATAAACGATAGTCGGTTGAAAAAATTCTACTTATATGGTGTTCCATACTAAACTGTTACATATAAAAAAAGTTAATGTCACAAACGTCATTGACGTTTTTGTTTTTTAGTTAAATTAACTTTTGATTTAGGTCTTATTAGAAATAAAAATAATATTTCTCGTAGTACTATTACATATGACCACAAGTTATTAACGGTAACTGCTTAACGTAGTGTTACTAAGTGAATTTCCTAATTTAATAAATTAATTTAATAATATTAACAAAAAAAGGAAATTTATGTTGTTATTTAATTTGTTCTATATAGTTAGTAAATAGTTAGAATTAAAACGTTATTAAATCGATTTTTAATGAGACATTTGAACACAAATGGCAACCCCAACAAATTATCCTCTACCTTTGCCCGGTGCCAGTGGCGACTCAAGCAGAGTAAGCAACAGTCTGACCCAAAGGGTGGCACAGTGGAAACAGCAAGTTCGATCTTATCCTCGACATAAAAAAGTTGAAAAACTGGCAGTGTATTCATCTTGCAAGGTTTGTTTTTGATGTGCACTTCCCTTCACATGTTTGTTCTTAATCTGTTAGCATGCTCTTTTATTTAAATCTTAAATCACCAGTTCTTACTTTGATTTTTTTTTTGTTCTATGGTTGATGGCTGTTTTTGTTCAGTTTGATGGAAATTTATATAATAATAAACACAAACAGTATGAGGATTGCAAATGTAATGGCTGGAAGAGTCATGATCCGACGTCATCATCATCCTCCCAAGTCATCAACCAGCCAGAAAGTTCCCAATCGTCTGCGTCATTGAGTGATCCATGTAGAAGCTGCAACCATAATTTGGGTTGATCGTTTGTTGATGTCATGTGCTGTTGTTTGTTGATGTTGTTTGTGGTCATATATAACAGTACTATTATTTTCATTTCAGATCATTACTTTTATTTAAGTCACTTTAATCTATTTAAAATTTTTTTTAAGATGTCTAAGAATAAAAAATATTTTTCTGAAATATAAAATAATTCCATATTTCCATTGCCAGCCATCTCTCTATTACCATGTGTTATCTTTAGTTGAAACCATTCGCCACTAATGACTTTAGCACTGTGACAATAAAGTAATTAATATGAGATTGAATGTTGATGTTTAGAGATGCACATATCCCATTTGGAGAACTCAACTGATGATGAATTGAATCGACTGCTCGGCATCGTCGTTGATGTAGAACATTTGTACAACTGTGTACGCAAGGAGGAGGACTCGGATACTAAACAAGTTTACTTCTACCTCTTCAAGGTTTGCATAGATGTATATATGTGCGTGAGTGTATGTACAATGTACATAGATGTGTGTGCGTGTGTGTGCTTAAGTTTCTAGTATGTTTAAAAGTTATTACATTACAGATACTGTATATTTATTATTTGCTGAACAGTTTTGTTGTATGTCAAGATTTTTTACCTCTTAATTACTGTGACTATTTTCCTAACTGGTCAAACAAATCTAATTATTATTATTAATTGTTATTAATTATTATTATTGCTTGACTTGATGTTCTGCTAATGAAGTATTTTAATCAGAATTAAATGTCTATGAAATTGGATGAATTGTTTCAAAGATTACATAATGCTTATTGTTATTTTTGTGGTTATCATTATTATTATTTTAAAACGAGTAGAACGATGACTAGTTCTACCATTTCATCAATTTTAATAAGTTTACATTATTTTATATTATATTATTATTATTATTTGTTGTTATTATTATTATTGTTATTGTTGTGATGAACAGCACCTGAGGAAGTGCATAGCTAGCATGACGACTCCATCCATTGAGGGCCACATCGGACAGCCCCCCTTCGAAAAACCATGCATTGCCAAGGTTTACTATTTCAATTGTTTGCCCGTGATGGATGCATTGTTGTTCCTGACCACTGCATTTGTTTCACCTGTCTAATCATTAATGTTGTTGTTTCTATATAGTTTTAAGTCATTTCATTTTTTTTCATCCAAATTATTTTGCTGGCTCATGTGAGTTGGTTGAATGAGGCTTTTGCCGGTCTGTTTAGAATCAACAAACTGCGATCGATATTCTGTTGTTGATTTGTCAGTTTTGTCTACATTTGGAACATTGTGCTTAAATAATTTATTGATTTCAGTACAGTTATAACGACATGTTTCAAACATTGTAAATGATGATAGCATTGCAACTATGTGCTGGTTGGGATCATGTTGGTTTAAATGTAGGGATTGTAACGTAGCGTAACAACATATTGATCTGCGTGCGTGTAACTGTTGCACACCAACCAACCAACCAACCAACCAACCAATCAACCAACCAATCAACCAACCAACCAACCAACCAACCAATCAACCAACTCATCAACCAACCAACCAACTAATCAACCAACCAACCAACCAACCAATTATCCATCTCGGCAGGGTGTGACAAACTTCGTGCTGTACAAATTCGGACATCTGGTACAGAGTGAATGGCAGACTATGTACGAGGTGGCCAAAATGTTTCTGCACTGCTTGAACCACTGGAAGCTGGAGACACCGGCCGTTCGGAAGGTCAACATCCTACCAGATGAGCTGGCTGCTTATAAGATGAACTACACGAGGTTCGTCATTGAAAAGTTGTGGTCTGGGCTGATGATGACAACTAATGAAAATGTGCTTAAAGCTTTTGCAATCTCAACTTAGCCATCTTATTTATCCACACACACACACACACACACACACACACACACACACACACACACACACACACACACACACACACACACAATTATGCACACGCATTCACGAACACACATTGAAACAAATGCACGTCTGCACACACCCACACAGATGGTTGTGCTTTTGCCACGTACCGGCCATATGCGACAGTCTTCCACGTTATGAAACGACCATCGTCTTTGGACAGACACTCCTCAAGTCGGTCTTCCACACGATGAAGAAACAACTTCTCGACAAGTTCGCTGCAGAGAAGGAGAAAATGGCGCCTGAAAAGAAAGTTCTTGTTCTCACACATTTTCCCAGGTCAGTGTTTCCAGCGATGTATTAAGATTTTCAAAAAATGTTCAGAAAATTATTTTTTCGCGATTTGTTTGGCACGTGTTTGGAATGGGATGCACTGCTCATGTAGAGCATGTTCGTTTTCCCATACTTGTGATTACTTTTCGTGAGGAGATTGTTTATTTCATAATTTCCATTATATGTAACTTTGTGTATTGCTATTTATTGCATGTTTTTTGTTACTCTAATTTATTGTTTGAGGAATTCATCCTGTTTTTAGTTTTAAATGGTTGAGATCTATTTTATATTTATATATTTTCTTAATTTTATTATTCACAAGCACAAAAAAGTAAACATGTACTTGTAGCAGTGCCTTAACTAAAATAGAATACACATAAATAGAAAAAAATAACTGTGAAACTCATATACTGGCAATGTAAAGAGAAAGGAAAAGAAAAGGAAAGCTGAAAAATGTCAGCATCTATCAAAGTTTACCGAATGAGCAATAAATAAAAATGTACATGTTAGCATATTCTCGCACATACATATTCACACATACATACAAATTTATACATAGAAATATTTCAGGAAATATTTGAAGTTAATTAAACTCTTTATAAAAATGTTTAAAATGCTGTTATTTATTTATTGAACCATTTCCTACTTGACAGTGTAAGAAGAAGTTTTTTTTTAAATAATAGTTTACATTAGTTATTCTATTTTATAAAGTCATAAATTTTGTTTGATGGGAGAAAATTATTTGTTTTTTTTCCAAGATTTCTGACGATGCTGGAGGATGAGATCAGCAGTGCTTCCTCACCAATATGGGACCAGGATTTCATGCAGAACGTTCTGCCTGGTGCTAATGCTGGTGTGTTGTCGTTGCTGTTGCTGCTGATGTTGTTGTTGCTGCTGATGTTGTCGTTGCTGTTGATGTTGTTGTTGCTGCTGCTGATGTTGTTGTTGCTGCTGCTGATGTTGTTGTTGCTGCTGCTGCTGATGTTGTTGTTGATGCTGTTGCTGATGTTGTTGTTGTAGCTGCTGTTGTTGTTTTGTTGTTGTTGTTGTTGTTGTTGTTTTGTTGTGTACTTGATTTATACGATTCGAATGGGAACATTCCAATTAACATCCACTCCAGCCATCATAAATTATTGAAATATGAAAATCATAAAAATATTAATCTCTCATTTATTAACAACTCACTGACACTTGCCTACAACAACAATCCAGACAACAGTGACGTGCCGACATTGAACAACAATTCATTCTCCACTTCGTGCTCATCATCGTCAGCACCGACTCCATCGTACGCAGCACTTACTCAGTTCATCAACAATCAAAACAGCAACGTCAAGAAAAAAGGAGGTGTGGTTGTATTCATTCAAATTGCTTCTCTCTCTCTCTCTCTCTCTCTCTCTCTCTCTCTCTCCCTCTCTCCCTCTTTCTCTCTATTTCTATCTTTTTCTCGCTCTTTCTTTTTTTTCCTGTTTTCTTCTTGATCTTGATCTTGATCTTCCATCTTCCAATCTTTTTGCATCTCCATGATTTTGTTAATTATCATCTTTGTTATTATCATCATCTTCTCACGTATTTGTGTCGTCGTCTTCCTTAACATCGTCCTCTAGCTAAGTTATTATCATTCTTATTCTCCAGTCTCATCGTTCTGGAGTCATCATTGTTTTCATGCTCTATATTTATTGAATCACCATCTTTACGATCGAGATGTACAAATGAGCGAAAAAATGAATGAGTGGCTCACGTCTCCCACCCAACAGAGAAGAGAGCGCTGAGTAGTGAAGGTCGGTCGGCAGAGGAGATTTTGATGGAGCCCCCTCGCAAGGTCATCGATGGAGACGTCCCTGCTGAACTCGTGGCCGAGGTCCTGCACGCCATCAATGAAAAAAATAAAGAAGTACTGTTTCTTATTTTTCTCTTATTGTCACTTCCGACTGTTGTTTGCCTGCTTTCTGTTGGTGTCATTGTCAGTAACGGTTTATTTTTATTCTTGAGTCCGTTAGTATTCTTATCATTACTGATAACTGCTGCTGATAATTTAGTCATTCTGCCAGTAATGTTGTTGCAACATCACTGAAACGTGCAATTCACGACGCGGTCATCAGCTAGAACATGCTCAATCCTCATCTACAGGCCTCAAGCAACAACAACAGCAGCGGCACATTGATGGCACATGCCCACGCTTCTCGAGATGAGATAGCCCGACAGGAGGAGAAGAGAGGCATCATAGAGTTCCACGTCATCTCCAACTCACTGACCACCGATCCTCCCGACCAGGTACTCCTCTGGCTCATCGGCCTGCAGAACGTCTTCTCACATCAGCTGCCCAGGATGCCGAAGGAATACATAACCAGGATCGTTTTCGATCCGTTAGTCGTACCAAGTTTATAATCTCATCTAGAATTCTTCAATTTAAAAACCATCGCCACCATCATTTCAGGCATACTCAGTCCAGAGAAACTTTCAAATGCATGCTGCTTAAGCTGCTACCGCAGTAATTCTTGACTCATTAAATAAACTCCATTTTAGTTGCAATTTCTTCACGTTTTTTGTCTGCAGCTTTATCTGGCTCTCAAATGATTTCTCATTCTTTTTCTAAGTCTTTTATTATTTTATAATTATTTATTATTTATAGTCCTTTTTTATTCATTTAGTTAAATTTGCAAGATCATTGTTAGCTTTTTAAAATCTGATGCTGTTGAATCTTCAGTTTGTTGGTTTTTTGCTAGGATTAATCATGTATGCCGTCTCTCATTTTAACGTTTTCAAATTGCATCACTTTTTGTTTTGTAAATCCTGTTTTTATGGACAGAATAAAGATTTGAATAATAATAATAATTAAATAATGAACTTACGTTTTTTAACTATAGTTATTTCCATGCTTAATCATCCTTGCTTTCCTTTCAATATTCGATGAAACAGGAAGCACAAATCAATGACCTTAATAAAGGACAACAGAGTGATAGGAGGGGTTTGTTTCCGCATGTTTCCTTCCCAGAGTTTCTCTGAAATTGTTTTTTGTGCTGTCACATCCAACGAGCAAGTCAAGGTACGTCAGCTTGTTGCTTGTTTGCTGCATGTTGCACTTTTATACATTGTCCAGTTTTGTGGTGTCTGATACATTCAATTATTTGTTTTCAATGTTATTCTGTTTTATTCCTTTCTTCTTAAAAATGATTAAGACAAAAACTTCTACCTATGTTTGTCGCTTTGGTAAATTTATTCAAAATCACACATTGAATTTACTTGTATATTACATCTTGTACGTATCCTTCATCTCCCATACAAACCTTCCAGATGCATGCTTACGTTCACTGTCATTCTTTTTTAATTTACTTCAATTGGTTGATAATTATTCACGTTATAAATTACTTTTAAATGGAATGGACAGGGTTATGGCACGCACCTAATGAACCACATGAAGGACTACCACATCCAACACAACATCCTCAACTTCCTTACCTTCGCTGATGAATATGCTACTGGTTATTTCAGGAAGCAGGTCTTTTTCTCTTTACTTTTTGTTTGTTATTTGGTTTGTAATGCTTGAGAAAACGTGTAAGTTTAATTCTGAGTTGAATATGGTTCTGTGATCTTTACATGCGTAACGCGTGCATTTGAAAGTTTAATTTCTATAAACTCGTCAACCCATTTAGTTCGGTCGTTTTTCCCCTGTTTTTTATGCAAACTTCTTAATTGTATCTATTTTCGAATTTTGCTGAAATGAATAATTGTTGCCATTAATTTGCTGGAAGCTTTCATAACTCAGCATACAGGCGTTAATCCCAACGTCTTGTAATGTGTTAGAACATTTTTATTCAATTTTTAAAATTTGATTACTTTTTTGGAGGGTAGGGTTTTTCGAGGGAAATAAAGATGCAGAAGTCTTCGTACATGGGCTACATAAAAGATTATGAAGGGGCCATTCTGATGGGCTGCCAACTCAACCCACTTATTGTCTACACTCAGTTCTCTGAAGTCATTCGCAAACAGAAGGAGGTTCGTCTCTTGTTTTTTATGAGACTGTTAGGTTTATTGAGCAGTTAACGACATTCCTTTTGAAGATAAAATACATTCGCTACCGCTACTTTCAATTGAAAAATTTTTCATTAAATCACGCGAAATAGTGAAACTAATCATCTTTCAAACGAGGAGACTAACCAACTCGAATAAACGCGGGCTGGGGTTGTTTAAATCTGCTTTTTTGCTTTAAAACATGAGACTTCTTATTAAGAATACTTAAATTATTGGTGTAATAGTATTTTTTAAATTGCAAGTTTTGTAGTCAATCTGTTTAATTTTTAAAGCTCCGACAGTAATGTAGAAGATTTCATTCAATACAAGAGATGGAAATGTGATGTCATATGTTTATTTTCATTGTTCAAAATAGTAGCGGTAGCCATCTTGGCGCTAGTTTTCCATTTTAGTAGCAGCGCTACTTTTCACTTGAAGTAGTGATAGTGACAGCGGCGCTTTTATTTATAAGTGGCGTTAACAACTCTGGATGATAACGATGATCATCATGATGATGAACAGATAGTGAAGATGTTAGCAGAGAAGAAGAAAGATGCTCTGAAGAAAGTCTATCCGGGATTGACGTGTTTCAAGGACGGAGTAAGGCAGATCCCGATCGAGAGCATTCCTGGAGTGATCGAAGCCGGATACCAACCTTCCAACACTGCTGACGTCAAAAGGTTGGAGAGTTTCATCGTCAAGTTTCAATACAAATGATATCACCTCATTTATGAAAATTTTCTTTTTATTTTTTAAATTAATTTCAACTGTGTTATGCGCCTATCATCTCTATTTTATATTTTTTCTTTTATGTGCTTGCTGTGGCTTGAAATGTGCGTTGGCTTTAGTTCAGTTTTTCAGCAGAAGCCTAATAGTTTGTACCTCCTCATCTCATATCATGTTGTTAGTTGTCAGTTTTTGGCACATTCTGCTAGCGTTGTTTTGATGATCCTATTTTGAGAGTGTATGCACTGTATTAAGAGGAGTGTTTAGTTGGTACATATCTTATGAACTATTCTAGTATTTAACAATAAAAAATTATCCGACTATGACAGAGATGGTCCAGATACGGAAGAGTTGTATTCGCACCTCAAGTCAACACTCAACTCCGTGAAAGTACTTATTTCATTCTTTCTGTCGTTATTTTTTCTGATTTCCTTAGACATCATTTTGCCACTCAAAATGTTTTTTAACCTTTTAAATAGAAAATTTGTTTGGTAATTAATTTATTTAATTGTTTTATCATTTATATAATTATTTTTCATTGGTTATTGAACGTGCAGACGCATGCCAGTGCCTGGCCGTTCTTGAAACCAGTTGAAAAGTCAGAAGCTCCGGATTATTACGACCACATTAAATTCCCAATGGGTTAGTGTTCTACATACATCTTAATTCCTCTTCAATGCTGGCGCTATTTAAAATTCAAACGAAACAACTCGTCTCTAACATAGTCAGTCCTGAGCAGTTTTATTCATAAGTGGCGTTAAGAATTTCTCGTTGCGTCATTTCTTAATGCTTTCGTCATTCAAAGTGGATGGTCTGTTTGATAGGTTTATTGAACTTTTCAGATTTGAAAACGATGGGCGAGCGACTGAAGAGCAGGTACTACACGACCAAGAACATATTCATCGCTGACATGACGCGAATCTTCACCAACTGCAGATCATACAACGACCCTGACACTGAATACTTCAGATGTGCTAATGTTCTGGAAAAGTTTTTTCTCACCAAATTAAAAGAAGCTAATTTGATTGACAAATAAAAATTTGTCATAGTGACTGCCCGATTTTTTCACTTGTTTTCAATGATAGTATTTGTATTTATTTGCTTACATGAACTCAATTTTTTTATGGACAGTCGCTTGCTTATGTAACTAATTTATTTTTACTTTAAAAATTAAAAATAAAAGACAAAAATATATATACGTTAAGTCGTGATGTAATAAGTTGGAGTTTTTATTTTTCCTTTACAATACGATGATGATAACACGGTCAATAAGTTCAATTTCGAAACTGATAGTAAATTTGATGAATAAAATCAGTAAGAAGCGTGATCTAATTTTTTTAAATAATAAGAAAATTGGAATGAAAAAAGGCAATAATAATAAATTTACGCCATATGATATTACGATCCCAAGCAATTATACACCAGATGAAAAAAGGGCGGATTAGGAATAAGCTGAATAAAACAGATTTGGACAATATTTATAAATTATGATGTGTTTCCAAGTGAATAGAGTAGTGATCACAATGCCAAGAAAATATTTACATCAATTGTGGATATTAAATGTTTATTATAATATGAAAAAGATAAAAAGTTTGTGACAATTTTATTCCTTCTTCACCATAATAATACGATTTCAACAACCTCACCTTTTGGCAAAGTTGAAATATTTATTTTATTTATCAAGCAAAACTAAACAGAACTGGTTTTTACTGGTTTTTGTAAAAGAGATTGAAAAAAATTGAGTAGGAAAAGGATGTCCAACATGGTTTCGCCATATACAACTTGCAAATTTTTACGTAAATAAATAGCAGAGTTGTAAAGTTTGTTGAAAATAATCACATAATCTTCCAAAATTTTAATGTTTCGTTAAAATTTTTGAAGTGTAAATTATAAAATTTTTATTAATATCATCTGAATGTGCATTCAAAACACCGTCAAAGAAAATATCGATAAAAAAAGTTAAAACTGGATGAAACTTTAAAAAATATCACATGTACGTACATATTGAGTTGAAACACGGGTCGATAATTCAACAAGTTTCAATATCAATTGCATATAGGATCGTAACAGAAAGGTACATGTTGATTCTTTTAAACACAATGTTGAACTTATTCATTGTGATGTTTTCATTAAATATGTACTGCACCATTTTCTAAGAATATTTCAAAGTATCAATTAATATTACACAAACAAACACACACACGTAGGTACATAGAATTTTTATGAAACATCACTGTTTTTTCAGATTTGATCAGTTTTTAGTTCAGTTTTCAACCTATTTTTATAGAAAGCAAAGTTTTTAACTACTCTTCTATTCATTTTTATTTTATACAAAAAAGCATTTTTTCTGTAATCCTCTAACATTTTCAATGTAAAATGTTATCAAATACCGATGGTGTCTTAAATATACCTTTATCTGTGCGATACTAATTTATTGGTTCTAAATGATCACTTTGTGTTGATTCGTTATTTCTTGTTATTTATTGTTTTTTTGTCGGTCTTATATTACTGCATTTTGTTGGATATTTATTACAAGGTTCCGACCGGAAATTAAAGGAATTCGTTTATTAATAAAATGTTTGCTGTCTTAATTATTTATTGTATCAAATAACAGTGATATTATTTTAATTTTTCATCAATTAATTTTGTATAAAAAAGACCGGTTACTTAATTATTAGTATCAAACTTACTTTAACTGTTTAATGTTTTCTGTAGTAAGTGACTTGGTGGCCTATACGAGTATTATTCTTATTTGGTCTCCGAAGGCCACTTAGTTGCTATATCAATACAGTTGGTTTGGTTTAAGGGACAGCCGATCAAGAGTCAAACACGACGATCTCAAAGCGTGAAGTGACACTACGTTCAACAAGCGACACTGTCAATTCAGCAAATGTGAATTGACAGTGTGCTCAACAAACTATACAGCATTTCAGCAGCAGTGAGGTGACAACACGTCGGCAGTCAACGAAGTCTCCACCAGAAGTTCCACAGACAACGTGACAGCCGGTGTCCCCATTTGCAGTCGTGCCTACGCGGGCACACAAAAGGCTCACATTTGACGAAACCTTATAAATTTTATTGCTGGGAATTTTTTTGAACCCTTACAGGCATGTTTTCCAGATCTTATTCCAAGTTGAAATTTAATTTGTAAAGTATCACATCCTTCACTGGCATGCTCCCGTCTGAATCAAAAAATACATTATTGTATGTTATGAAAAGAATTGATAATAAAATTTAAAGTAAAAGTCATTCGGTTTTATTGTTGAAGACGAAAGAAAATTACTATTTGGAAAAGAACAATCATAATATCATTCATATTTTACATAAAAAATTACAATAATAAACCGAATGAGAAAAAAAGAACATGCAATAGAGCGAGATCAATTTATTTTCTAGAAAGTTAACATCAAATAAATTGTCGTGAAACAAAGTAACACAAAGTTAATTCAAAAAAGTTAAAATCAAACAAATTGACGTAAGAACAAATTATGGCAAAGTTAATTGATCAAAAGACCAGCTCAATCATAACTATAGCAGAAATCTCTCAAGTTGCACAAACAGACATCAAAGCCAATCAATCAAAAGTTAGAAAAGTGAATCAAAACAAATTTTCATCTCTAGAGTTATAATTGTGACCCAATAAAGTGCTTTTAAATGTGCATTGTTGATTAAGTTTTTGGTCAGGTTTCTTATATAAGTAAGGAATAGTTCCAATGTCTCAACCCATTCTGCGTTCATTAAGCGTGAAAACTGATATTAAAACTAACTACTTGAAAGAAAATCATAATTTTTCAAACTCTTATCAAAAAAGAGACAATTTAATTATTGAAACATTTAATACATCCCTCCAACCGAATAATATGGATAGCAAAAGCAAGGTCAACAACCACAAAGTTGAGGATGTATCGAACGTTGATAACCTAAAGAACATCGATGATATCAAAGTTGTTAGTGGCCATGTGGAAAATGTGGACAACGACATCAACCAAACAGATTATATCCCGCCAGTTTATGATTATAACTTTTTTAATAAAAATCCTGCCAGTTTCGATTGCATCAGGAAGGCAACGATTAAAAAATTTAAAAAGTACAAGGTCAATACGAGTAAAGCAGGACTCTTCATGCAAGTGATGTTGAAACGAACAGCAAGAAAGTGCAACAGTTGGGTCATGTATTACGACATAGCGGTTGATCCTACCTTGATACCAGTGGACCAACCTACCACAAAAAAGTCGTCTCGTCAACGAACACGCTCACTCGACAGTGTAGAAGTTGATGTGCTAGCTGCAAGAAAGTTTCATAAAAGATCATTTTTAAAGAGATCATCATCAGTTGTTCTTCGCTCTTAAATTTTTGAAACGTTTGTTTCAAATTATTTTTGTTACTCATCCACAATGTAGATAGGAATGTACAGATAGGGTGAAGTTCATCTAGTTTCTTTGAGAACATCGTTTTTGTTTGTTCATTGATTGTATTTTTTAATATTCTTTATTTAGTGAACGATATTCATTTATCATTTTGCTTAAATTTTTGGAACTTTAATAAATATAAAAATGTTAAAAAAAAGATTTGTGTTTATTTCACTACTTTCTGGGGTGTCAAATTGAGTTTTTTTTTTATCAATGCATACGAGTAAAATGAACGAGCGAATTAATTATATTATTCATAAAATTTAAGAAAAATTTTTTGACAATTTGAAAATGTTGGCTACAACCGGCCTTATAGAAGCAGATGAATTAATTTAGCAAAAAATGTCAAATAGTTATGTACATTTTATTAATCATTATAATTTATTTATTTGTTTTTAAATCATTATTTCATATTTTATCCTCGTACCTTTTACTCTTTTTCTATTTTTTGTTAATCCCGTAATCATTAAAATATTTTTTGGCTCGTTTTAAAATTTTTTGAAACGTTCAGATTCTGATTTTTCAAAGAATAATAATAAAACAAAACAAATATAAGATCCTTTTATGTTCGTTTTTTCAAGTAGCACAAAATTAAGAAACGATCATTCCATTAACTAAATTTTGCTTGTCAAACAAAAACAATTTTTGTGAACAAATCAAGTATTTCCCAGAAGACAGCGTTTGATTTAAATGTAGTTTTATTTCGTATTTTCATTCAGTACTCAGTTAAAATTTTACTTAATATCAATTAATGCACCTGGCCAATGAAAAAAAGTAAGAATATTCACCTAAAATAACAAGCGTTACTAGAGAAATTGTATCGGTGTATGTTTTTTATTTTTGCTTGAAATTTACTTTTTTCGATTTTTTACGTTGCCGGGATTAAGAAAATGTCGTTCTGAGCTTAACTCTAAATGTATAATTTCAAAACGAATAAAGCTGGACTCTTCATGGAGGTTTTGTTGAAGCGAACAGCAAAAAGGTGTAACAGTTAGGTCCTGTTACGACAAAGCGGTTGATCATACCTTGATACCAGTAGACCTGCCAAACACAACATGATTGTCGCGTTAGCGAACACGCTCACTCGACATTGAAGGAGTTGATGTGCAAACTACAAGAAAGTTTCAAAAAAAATCATTTTTAAATGTTCATCTTCATCAGTTCTTTGCTCTTAGTTTGTTTAAACGTTTGTTTCAAATTTTTTTGTTACTCATCCAAAAATATGGATAGGAATTTTTCAGTTAGAGAAATTAGGTTGGTGTATGTTTTTTATTTTTGTTTAAATTTTACATTTTTCAATTTTTTACGTTGACGGAAGTAAGTGTCGTTTTGAGTTTTGCAAGAGGCAAATGTCAACAAAGCACCCTACAACTGCCTTTCAATATTTAGGCAATATTTTCAAAACCTAGCCTATATACTAGGTTGAATTAGAATTATTTAAACTAAACGTACAAATGATAATTTTGTGCCGTTTTGATGAAGAATTTAAGTTCAACATCATTCCAACAAAAAATGATTTTACTAAAACTGATCTTAGTTTTCTGCGCTCGAAAATCTATACGTCTTTGAGGTTGGATGGTGTGCAATAATCGTACATCAGAATTCGTATTTTTGTTGACTCGAGCAGTTCTTGAATACTACCGAAATCTTGTTTGTTTTCATTATTTTTATATTACCGCTATAGGATATATATAATTTTAAAAAAATGTATTTGATGTTTTTATAATTTTTATAATTTTTTAAAGCAATCAGTGTGGGAAAAAATTGATATAAATAATATAAAAGTTCGGAGATTTATATAAATTATTGTTTATTAATAAGGTTATTTATGTATCTATATTTATAAATAAAATGCATTTGTCACAAAATTGACAGTGCATTCCACACAATTTCCACGCTTCTCAGAAAAAAAATTGTAAGAATTCTTGAATCCTTTGAATGCAGTTTGCCTGCACATGGGACAGGTAATATTGCGCTTCAACCAAACATTGATGCAACCGGAATGATATTCATGCTTGCAATTCAAACGTTTCAAAGCGTCACCTCTCTTATATTGGCCAAGACAAATATTGCAACTGTCTTCGTTGCAGTCTTCTCCTTCGTATCGAATGATGGGCATGTTTTCCAGATCTTTTTCCAAGTTGAAATTTAATTTGTGAAGTATCACACCCTTTACTGGCATTGCTCCCGCCTGAATTAAAAAATAAATTATAGTGAATTATGAAAAGTAATGACAATAAATTTTTAATTAGATGTCATTAAGTTTTGTTTTAAAATTTAAAATAATTTTTGAACGCAAGAGATACTTACAATTTTGAAGGGAATGATCATGATATCATTCATGTTTCTAAGTTGCATTTTTATAAATTCTGTCATCGAAATGTTAGGGAGCTGTGCATTGCATAGATGGGACATTCTTCCAAATTGGATATTTGGTTGAGCCGGCAGGTTATTAGTGATGCGATCCTGCTGTCTCTGTAGCATCATTCCGCTGTATTGAGGAGATGTGATGATGTGAATGAAAAGGTTCATATAACTGTGCGCATAATTTTTGACGCGTCTTGGAATTTCTTCCAATTCATTTTGATAAAAGTTCATCATGTCAGTAACTGACCTAATCAAAGGGTTACAACTATTGGAACTCATTGTTATCTAGCTTGTTATCAAATTTTAATTATCGAAGGCTACAAAATTTTGTTCAGCTGAAATAATATAATTGCATTAATCAAAGCTTACAAATTTTGAGATTGGATTTAAATCAAAAACTCCAGTCATTTATACCTTTTCAATTCACACCATAAAGTTCCTTCGTGTAAAATTTCAGTTATAATTTAATCTTTGTTGAATAATTAAATAAATTATAACTTCAATTTCATTTGAGGTTAATTTAAATTTGATTACTGCACTAAAAGCCTTTGTTGAGATCTCATCAACTTTCCCAAAGCAACAAAGTTATCGATTTCGACCGTTACAACTTTGTATAGATAGCAAATTATAACACTTAATTGTAACGATATTTAAATGAGTTTTAGTAAATTTTTGTTCAACTAATCGAAATGTTTTCATCACTAACATTAAATTTAGTTAGAAAATCTATTAATTTTGTTTGTTTGTGCAATCGCATCACTGTAATACTTTTCATACAGCTTAGATTTATTGGAATCTTATAATCTTTACATCTCCTACAGTAGTTTTGATAACATATTTGTTTTGTTTCATAAGGAATCTGAATTAAGATTTAAAATGTTGTTGTCATTGTCAGACATTTTCTATCCAACTATAAAAAAAACTCGGCAGTTGACAAACTTTACAAACTTTTGTTTCCAATTACATTTTTCGGCCTAAACTTTTGAGAAAAAAACTCCGGTGGTCCGTACCTATCTCTTTGGCGACAACAGAAATTATGCGAAATCACCATCAACTTTGGATACGAAAGAATGACGTAATGAATTACCGTTATTGCTGATATATCACAATTGAAAGTGCATGCGATGAGTTTTTAAGAAAGTAATTTGTAAAAAATGATGTAAAATATTGACATTAAACTGTGAATGTTATAGTCATGTTAAGTGCGCTAAATTGACTGACAAAGGTTTTAAATTGTTAAAATACTTTTGCGATGAATGTCTAAAGGTTTCCGAGTCATTCAACACCGTCAACAAACTTATCAAAAAACAAGACGAATGTTTTATTCAGATAAAGTCAATTAAAGAAAGCAATGACAATATAAGGCGTGAATTAAATCAATTCAAAACCTCCCTAGGTTTAAACCGATAAAAGTTAAGCCAAATATCAAACGCTGATGGTTTGCTTGATAAATCTATTAGTAACTTAAAAAATGAACTCAGCACGACTTGGTCAAGTATTGTCAAGAAAAATATTGATGCTGTATCCAATGAAGTGAAAACTGTCAAAAAGACGTTAAACACAATTAATGATAACAAAGAACGTGAAAACAACATTGTTTTATTTAATTTGTCTGAAAGTGAAAACATCTCAAAAGACAAAGATGTTATTATGTCTTTTTTAATGTCCCTAGCCGGTGATGCTTTCAGTATCAACAAGGTTTTGGCAATTTCAAGGCAAGGAAGAAAAAGCGACAAAGTTTGTCGGCCTGTCATCGTCAAGTTCAGTGACGCTACCTTCAAATCGTTGTTTTTGAGAGCGTCTTTTAAAATAAGGTCATTCGACGGTGAATTAAATTAAGTTAAAATTAGCCATGATTTGACTCCAGAGAAACGTACTGAGCTCAATTCACTAGTGTCTGAGGATAAAACCAAGAAAGCTGGTAGTGAGAATTATTTGTCCAGGGTCAGAGGTCCGATTGGACGTTGGAAAATCATCAAGCTACCCAAAAACGCCACAAATTAATTTTTTATTTAGCGTTGTTTAATATAAGGTCTATTGCGTCAAAATTAGACATTATTTATAATTTTTTGTTTGAGGATTTAGACATTTTTGTTATCACTGAGTCATGACAAGGTTCACTGGGGGCTGATACTGTTCGTCTAGCCATGCCACCTAATTATTCATACGTTGATTTTATTAGACCTAGTGATCCTAACCATGGTGGTAGAATTTTTTTTAAGTTTTTTCAATTTGATAAAAGTTGAACTTCCCCCAATTCAGAGCTTTGAAGCCATCGCTACAAGTTTCTTTTTAAATAAGTCAAAAGTTGTTTTGTAAGCCATTTACAAACCTGGTTCTGTTTCAGTTTCTGCATTTGACATTGGTTTTAGAAGACATTTCTGTTTCATCTGATTTTTTGGTTGTTGTCGGTGATTTTAATGTTCACATTGAAAGATGTAATGAATTAAATACCATTAAAGTGTTGGATATTTTTGAGTCGTTCCAGGTTTTTTGTCGAGTTGATGGACCGACCCATGTTTTGGGTGGAACACTCGATCTCGTCGTTTCATCGGTTGATTTTCCACCTACGGATTGCATGATATTTCCATGTGGTGTTCATTCAGACCATAGCTTCATCAAGGTTATTTTTCCGTTTGTTTATAAGAAGCCTACAATATTAAAAAATTAGTTTGGTCATGGGATCGTATCAACAGTACATTGTTTCAAAATCTTGTTTTTCAATGGTTTATTAGTGGTTCGTTTGATTTAAAAGATCCTGATGTTATTTACGATTTGTTTGTCAAAAAGATGCAATCGATTGTTGATGTAATTGCCCCACTGCATTATGTTAAGTCCAATCATACCCACAGTGCTCCCTGGTTTAATCATCAATGTAGACGTATGAAAAGAGCTTGCCGTAAATTGGAAAAAGCATATCGAAAAAACCCTAACGATCTTAATAAAATTGCCTGGGAAAAGGCTCTGTTTTCAAAAAATTCTGTTTACACTGAATAAAAAAATTTGTATTTCAAAAACTTGATCCTTGTTCATAAATCTAATCCTAAAAAATTGTGAGCAACCATTAATAAATTATTAGGTAAATCTTCCACAGGTCATTTAGTCGATGAATGAAGTTTACCATATCACAATTTGCAACGTCTTTTAGTAATGAGATTAAAAAAGTTAGAAAAAAACAAATTCCTTGCTTGAGTCTCCTAGTGCTCCTAGTGATTCATGGTTAGCTGACTCGTTCAGTTTTTTTTATTCCATGTTCTGGTGATGAAATTAGGAAAGTTGTGCTCAGTTCACCATCAAAGACATTTTTCCATGACATTAATCCTGTGCATATTTTCAAACAATATATAGATTTGTTCATATCATTTCTCACATTTTTTACCAATTTGTGTTTTGACACTGGTTATTTTCCAAAGGTGTTAAAGCATGCCGTTGTGATTCCCGTATTAAAAAAGCCATCTCTTGATAAGGATGATATTGCAAATTATCGCCTAACTTCAAACCTCTTGTTTTTATCAAAAGTTGTTGAACGTTTAGTTCTAAAACAATTTTTAAATCATTTGAATGTGCATGGTTTAATTTCAATCCATCAGTCTGGTTACAGGCAGTATCACATTACTGAAACTGCTCTGATCAATATTTCTTCTGAATTGTTTGCATCTATGGATTCACAAAATGTTTCACTTTTGGCTTTATTGGATATGAGCGCTGTGTTTGACTGCGTCGAACAATCACTCCTTGTACATAAACTTAAATGTCGTTTTGGTGTTGCCGGTGCTGTTGCTTATTGGTTCGAGTCCTATTTGATTGGTAGGACGCAACAGGTTTGTTTCAATAATTTTCTGTCCAATGTCGAAGTTGTTATTTCCGGAGTGCCCCAAGATTCTGTTTTAGGGCCTCTTTTGTTTATATTGTACAGGGCCGATGTCTTTCCTATTATTGAAAAATTTGGTTTCAGATACCATGCCTTTGCGGATGATTGGCGAATAGTTGGTTGCTGTAACACAGACCCGGGTTTTGATGCCATGGTTCATAAATTTTTACGTTATTTTAATGAATTAAATGAATGGATGGTAAATAATAAACTAAAACTAAACGAAAACAAAACACAAATTCTGCCTGTCGGTACTTAAAAAAGATTAATATTAACCCCATCAACATCGGTGGTTCAAATGTTGAGTTTTGCACTTCTGTTAAAAATCTGGGCGTTGTGTTTGATACTGCAATGTCAATGGATCAACATACAAAGTCATTGGTTAAAGATTGTTGCTATCAACTTCGCAAACTCGGGCAAGTGAAAAAATCAGTCAATAACGACACCTTGAAATGTTTGGTTCACGCATTCATTCTTTCAAAAATGGATTACTGCAACAGCATTTATTACGGAGTTTCAAATCAATTGATTAATCGTCTTCAGTCAATTCAAAATCGTGCTGCTAAGATCATTTCCTGAGGGTTAAAATACGACCAATTAAAAAAGAATCATCTTCAAGCTTGCCGTTATGGTTTTCAAATGTTTAAATGGTTTAAGCCCAAGCTACTTGTCTGGAAGGCGTTTATACAAAACGAAAACTATTCATCACTTGCAATTACGCTCAGATGATCAGTTATTTTTATCGGTGCCAAGAACAAATTTGATGGAGGCCAATAGGAATTTTGCCGTTGCTGGTCCACAAATTTGGAACTCACTGCCATACAGCCTCCATCAACCTGGTTTAACTATTCAGAAGTTTCGCAAAGATTTGACGACGTATCATTTTTCCCGATGATTTCAGCAGAAAAAAGCAGCGCCTTTGAGTTGCATTAAAGGGCGCTATATAACTTTTTTAATAATAATAATAATTTATAATAACAGTATTAAGATAAATAATTATAATGATAACGAAAAAATAATAAAAAATGATAATAATAAACAAAAACAACAAAATGATATCAGATGATTATTCACTTTAATTAGAAATTTATTTTCTCGAAATTTAACAAGAAACAAATTGTCGCAAATCAAAGTATGACAAAGTAAATTCAAAAAAATTTACATCAAACAAATTGAAATTGGAACATATTAGGATAAAGTTAATTGATCAAAACTCAGTCATAACTATCGCGGAAATCTTTCAAGTTGCACAAACAGACATCAAAGCCAATCAATCAAAAGTTAGAAAAGTGAATCAATAAAAAGGTTAACCATAAAGTGCTTTTAAATGTGCTTTGCTAATGATTTTTTTTGGTCAGCCTACCTATATATATGAGTAACCAATTGTTCTAATGTCTCAAATCATTCAAAGTTCATTCAGCGTGAAGACTGATTTTAAACCTAATTCAGATAACTACTTGAAAAATTCATAACTTAGAATATAAAAGAGAAAAAATTTAATTATTAATACATTCAGTCCAACCGAATAATATGGATAGCAAAAGCAAGGTCAACAACCACAAAGTTGAGGATGTATCGAACGTTGATAACCTAAAGAACATCGATGATATCAAAGTTGTTAGTGGCCATGTGGAAAATGTGGACAACGACATCAACCAAACAGATTATATCCCGCCAGTTTATGATTATAACTTTTTTAATAAAAATCCTGCCAGTTTCGATTGCATCAGGAAGGCAACGATTAAAAAATTTAAAAAGTACAAGGTCAATACGAGTAAAGCAGGACTCTTCATGCAAGTGATGTTGAAACGAACAGCAAGAAAGTGCAACAGTTGGGTCATGTATTACGACATAGCGGTTGATCCTACCTTGATACCAGTGGACCAACCTACCACAAAAAAGTCGTCTCGTCAACGAACACGCTCACTCGACAGTGTAGAAGTTGATGTGCTAGCTGCAAGAAAGTTTCATAAAAGATCATTTTTAAAAAGATCATCATCAGTTGTTCTTCGCTCTTAGATTGTTGAAATGTTTTTTTCAAATTGTTTTTGTTACTCATCCAACAATGTATTTATAGATGAGAATGTACAGACAGCATGAAGTTCTTCTAGCTGATCATCTCTGAGAACATTGTTCATTGTTTGTAATTTTTAAATATTTTTTTTTCTTTTTTGTGAGCGATATTCATGTATTATTTTGCTTAAATTTTTGAAATTTTAATAAAAATAATAATAGGATTTTGTTTGTTTCACTGTTTTCTAAAAATAACTTGAATGTTCATCATTATTCCGTGTCAGATGCGGTTAAAAATTTTTTGCTTTGGTTGATGGGAGTTTTTTTTATTTTCTGCTGTACCATATGATAATAATAATAAAAACAAGATGTTTTGGTACGGTAAAACAGGGTTTTGTTTTGGCTCCTGTGATCTTTAATCTGTTTCAGACTGCCGCCATTCTCGACGGCAGTCTCTTTACGACGATTCAAGACGAAAAGCAAATTTTTACACTATTGGATTTTTGAATTCCATTATGCTGCTTTCCTTGCCATCTTTGTTCTCCAGATTAGTTTTTACGTTTTGTCGTGTGCCTTCAGTCCTTCTAGACTTGTTGTTAACACTGCAAAAACCGAGGCACTCTCTCTCTCGCCTCAAATCAATAAACCAGCTACATCTTTCGTGGATCACGTAAAGGTTTTAAATGATTTACAGAATTTATCTTGGTAGTGTGCTCCGCACTGACAGCTCTCTGGATCGTGAGATTGAACATTGCATTTGTAAGGCGTTGGCTTCTTTTGGCAATCTGGGGAGCCGCATCATTTTAAATCACAATCTTAATGTGATGATAAAGATTGCTATGTACAAAGCAGTTTGAAATTTTTTACACAATGATCTTTTGATCAAATACAATCGCTTAGAGTGTTCTTAACAGATCAAGTGTGTTCCATCTCATTTAAATGTATACAAATATTTTTATTAAATCCAAATTAAAATGTATAGAGCTAGCAAGAGATGTTATTGTTATAAACCTTTTAAAACATCGTTTTATGTATAATATAAAATTACTAATGTCATTGAATCACTATGGTTAATTCATCTAAATTAATTAAACAGCATATAATTAAAACATTTATTTTTAGGTGAATCATCAACACAAAAAATGTCAACGTTTTCTCTGCCATTGGTTAAAAAGTTTAAATATCTTTGAATGGTTTAACATTGAGAATTGTGAATTTAGATTTATTAAACAAAACTTAATTAGAGACTCGTAATGCAATAGTCGCACGTGTTTACGTGTGGATGGTCATGAGTATCAAAAATGATAAAAACTAAATGGAATTTTAAAACAATCAGCAAATAAGTTAATGAACTAACTGAACTACCTTATTTTTGCAGTAAAAATCAACCGAATGTTAACGAACACGAAAATATAGCTAGTTGAACAAACTGAAGAGCAACCTCAACCGGAGCGAAACAGGACAGAGTGAAAGTATTTTCAACTAATTTCAACCAAATTTATACTAAACCAGGCTCATCATCATCGTCACCTTCCTAACCTCTCTGACTAGTTGCGTTGCATGGGCAAAAGTTGAATAAAATTTGAATAAATTATTTTCGTCAACTTCTTCAACTGTATAACTGCACGGTATCGTCTTTGAGTTTATCATTCACCTACCTATGCAGCTTATTTCTGACCGTTTGTTATTGGTCAAGCCTAAACTCATTATTAGGCATCCAGCTCCTATGAAAACAGATTGATTGTTCATTTTGTCAACCAGCCAGTCACTGGTAATAAATTAATATTATTATCTTTTTCATTATTTTCAATTTGTATTTGGATAATTTAATGTTGGCGATTGAACGTTCAATTTATCGTGATGTTGTTATCGAAATTTCAAAGTTCACGTTTAAATAATTTATTTTCTAATAAATCTTTGATTTGATAATTTGCAGAAATACATGCTCACAATAACTTTTACGGTCGGTATAACCTCACATGGTCAACTCTCTATCACTTCAAACGTCAATACACAAATAAAACACAAACTTCACAAAAATTTATTGAAATTTTAAATTGTGAAACATTTTATTTAATTCAATATTAATAAATGACAAATCAATAAAAAATGTAGCTAAGTGAGAAAGGCTAATAAATGTAGCCTATTGGACAGTAGGCCGGTTAATGGATAACGTGCAGATTGGTTGACGGCACCAACTCACTTTGCCTTATTAATACTACATGTATTGTTGGCTTTAACCGGCTGAAATGTTAACGTAACGTTCAATCAATCGTTTAGGCGTTTAGGTTGAATTAATATATCTGATAAGTACTTAGGAAATAATTTAGATTGAGACTTATACATAAATGTGCAAGTTTAAAAAATTATTCTTTATTTTATAGGTAGCCACTGCAAGAGAACAAGATATGAAGATATATGAGAAAAGAGAGGAGCACGAGCAACTAGACGAGCAGCAAAGTTAAAAGCTTTACTTAAAGGACAGAGTATAGAATCAGGAAGACCATAGTAGAGCGAGTTGCAATAATTAATCCTAGATGAGACTAACGATGTAACAAGAAGGAGAAGAGTAGGATCATCAAGAAAAGGCAAAAGTTTTTTATTTTACTTAGATGAAACTTTTAACAACACTATTAATCTGAGAAGAAAGAGACATACTAGAATCAAAGATTAAGCCTAGACTACGAAACTTGTGAGAAACATCAAGAGTTTTTGAATCAGGTAAAATAATAGGAGTATTAGTAATAGAGTGTTTAAATTTATTAAAACAAATTAATTCAAAATTTAGAAGGATTAAGTTTAAGAAACATAGAGTCAGACTAAGCGATAATTGAAAAAAAGACATGAAAGACAGAAAGACAAAAAAAGAAGATAGATTATGAAGAACACTATTGAGATTAGATGGAGGGAAAGAAGAGGGCCAAGGATAGAACCCTGAGGTACACCGAAAGTAAGAGTTGAGGAGTTAGGAGTAGAATTATTGATAACAACAGAAGAAAAACGATTACAGAGATAAGAAAACCAAGATAGACAAGAATCAGTAATATTAAAAAAAAGATCTAGCAGCCTCAAAAGAATAGTATGATCAACAGTATCAAAAGCAGAGGAAAAGTCAAGAGCTAGAAGAAGGTAAGATTATTAACATTTGACAAAGATGATGGAAGCATTGTTAAAAGTTTGAAAAGTATAAATGTTAGCCGCAACGAGGAGAATGGTCTTGCTTCTGGTTTCTTAGAAAACAATATGCCATTTTTAAAAGTCTCATTTACTTTTAAACAAAATTTATCTGTTTACAAAAATGTAATGTAATGAGCGGTGGGTCTTGTTTCGAAACCTTTTTTTTCTTCGTATCTTTTTTATTTAAAAAATGACAACAACTCAAAATGGCGAGAGACATGAACATCACGTGAACGGACAATCTGCAGACGGAAAGGATTTGCTGTATTTGGACGCCGTTGAAATTGATGACAAGGAGTTCAACATTCCGCCCATCAAAAATCTCCCAACATTAGAGAGCATACTGAACACCCCGGACGATCATGATGAGCTGAACAGCGCCCTGCTAGTCGAAACCAGGAATTTGCTATCCGCTGTTAGTGCAGTGCTGTCCTGTTCTTATTTTTCTAGGTTTTTGTGTCAGATCATCATTATAATATCCTTTCCTTTTAAAATTTTGATTATTAAATTTTTAATTAAAATTTATAATTAATATTAAATGATACAATAAATTTAATCAAATATTATTCATTTTATTTTCATTGTTGTTTAGGTATACTTTAGACTTAAGTTAATACTTAAAGTAAAGGCTAAAGCGAAAATGCTAGTGTCTAGTGAGCAAGTAGCCTTCTTCTAGACTAGGGTAATAATATTATAAAAATTTATAATAGCTATACTTCACTATATGTATATAATATTTGTGGTCAAAATTAAATCATTATGTAAAAAATGAAGTCATGTTTTTTATTTAAAAGAATAACTTGAAATACTTATATTATAATTATATATTTAATTTTATTAGCATAAAATATCATAATTATCTATTTTAGGTAATTTGCTTTTAATTTTATTTTCAACTTTTTCAAAATTATAACTATTACAAATTAAAAAAAAATATATACTTTTTAAAATTAACAGATGAATTAAGTTTATTTTAAAACTTATGACTTTTTATGATAGTAAGGTAAGTCTTTCAAAAACTTTCTCTAATAAACTTTGTAAATGATCAAAATAAATATTCACAACTTGCCAGGGTGACGCAGACACTTCATCAGTAACCAGTCAGGACAGCAGCCTGTCCCATACATCTAAGCAAGCCAAACAGTCAAAAGATAGAATAAGCAGGAACGCAGACAAAAGCAACTTGCATGGATGTGTACTTCGACACGTAACATTGAAATCAATTTCATCACAGTTACTTTCAGCAGCAGACAAGGTCGATGCAGGACTTCCAACTGCACTTGCAGTCTCAAAGTTCATAGCAGTTGGAACTTCACATGGTCTCATCATGGTCTTTGATTCCAAACAAGTTCTTCGTTGGTGTCTGGGAAGCACAGCTGTTGGTGCGCAATATGGGGCAGTGTCAGCTCTGAGCTTCAACATCGACAGCACCAGATTGTTGAGTGGGTTTGCCAGAGGACAGATTATGATGTGGGACCTGACAAATGGCAAGTTGTTGAGGACGGTTCTTGATGCACACCCACCAGGCACCGCCATCTTGCACATCAAATTCACTGATGACCGAACAACCGCAATCACCAGCGACAGTGGGGGATCAGTTTTCCAGTTAGACTTCAGGCGCAAGTTGGGAATTAGAACATGCGAGTCTCAGTGCCTGTTTTCTGGGAGTCAAGGAGAGGCGTGCACCATCGAGCCACTCTGCACGCAACAATCCATTCCAGAACATCCAATGAAGGACGTCATCCTCGTTGCCATGGCAACTCTCTCCAAAGCCATCATTCTTGTTGTGAAGCCCCATCTGATGGCACATTTTGTGTACCCACTTGTGGGGGATCCATCCACCCTGCCACTCTTGAGTTGGCAGTTTGTGGTCATCCAGGTATCAGAACATAGCAAGTCAGTTGATCCTGTGCTTGCATTCGGTAGGGACCAGGTCGTCTACTTTGCCCAGGTTTGTGTTGGTCAGTTTTTTTTCTTTGATGTTTCTTGAAATTTGATGCTATTGATCCTCTTTCATTTTAATTCCACATGTTAATCTAAATAAATTGTTGGTTTGAGTTTTTTATAAATTTTAGTGAACACTCACGAGTTTATTTCATTTTAAAAATTTTTCAATTTTGGTTTCTTTTTATTAAAATTAACTTCTGTCTGCAGGCGGTTTGCAAAGGAGTAGACAACATAAATGTGTCTGTGCTGCAGAAGACTGACCTGCCCTACAAACTCCTCTGCATGACCTGGATCAACCCTCGCACCATGGTCTTCATTGACACTTCTGAGAAAGCCCATCTGGTCGATGTAAGAACCGAACAGGAAGTTCAGGTTGTTGCCGTTGTTGAGGCTGCTTTTGTTGTTGCTGCTGCTGTTTTTTTGTTGTTTTCGTTGTTGTTGTTATAATTTCTTTAACCTACAGAAGAATTTTTTTACCATCACAGCAGCTTGAAATGGTTTATGAATGCTGTTGTGATAAGTTGATGTCATATGTTGCTATATTATATCGTTGTTGTGTGCTGTCATGGGTTGTTGGTTACATTACACATGTTGTCTGAATGTTGCTGAATGTTTCTGAGATGTTTTGGCTGTTTCAATGACTTTAACCCTTTCTTTTGATTTGTTGTGTATGGTTATAGCAGTGCTCGTATTGTTGACGCTGATCGAATGCAAAATAAAATAATGAAGTTGACCTTTAGGATTTTTTAGGTGTGAATTGAAACTAATTAAATTAGAAATAAATGTTTCACGTATTATCAAGTTTTAATATTGGTTTCCATTCTTAAAATGTTGAAACAAATAAAAAATTTTAAATTTATTGTTTGAAATTTGTCTGTTTTCAATTTTATTACTCCTTAAAAATATATTCAAGGTATAATTTTGTAAACAAAAAAATCTATCAAAAATATTCTTAATATTAAGTCTGTTAAAAAGTTTTAAAAGAATAACCAAATGGTCACAAAAGTAACACACACACACACCACACACATACACACACTCGCACATGCACACACACAGACACACACACACACACAAACATCAAACTGCTGTGCTGACAAGCAAGCACATAAATAAATATTGTTAAAACATTGTAAATGTCATTCACAACTGGCTCTGGGATTGCATTTTTATTATTATTATTATTATTATAATTATTATTATTATTTTATGTTTATCTTTGTCGTACTCGGCATGAACAAAATTGACATCCGGTTGATATGGTGTTATGCATAGGATGCTGAATAATAAATTATTATCACTGTCATGCATTATATCAATGTTAATAATAATATCGGTTATTTCATAAATAATGATATAATAATAATGCTGTTGCTGCTTCTGCTGCTGCTGCTACTTCTACTACTACTACTACTATTACTAGTAGTAGTAGTACTGCTACAACCGCTACTACTAATAAACTGTTGATAAATGCTATAACACATTAGCTTATTATATTTAGTAACAGTAATATAATGGTTGTTATTATAACATTATCACGTGCGCACAACAAAAAAAGGTGTTGGACCTGGCCAGTGTACAACTAGCATACAGCACGAGTTTCTACAAGTCCCTGGCGACGGGGGGCAACGTGAGTCAGGCCCTCGCGTATGCAGGTGAACAGGCGTGCTACCAATCCATCGTCACTTACAACAACCAGCTGGTTCTGCTGGGCACAAGAGGCGTGCACATCATCACCTTGAGGTCCTGGTCCGATCGCATCAACTTGCTGGTGAAGCAGCGCAAGTACAAGCAGGCGGTTGAGTTGGGGTTGACCTTCTACAAAGATACTGCTATGGCAGTGCAGGGTCTCGTGTGGAACCCCCAGAAGAGGAAGACTGTTGTGATGGAGTTGCTGGTAAAGGTGGTTATGCAGTATGTCGATGATTTCATGAGTGGAGTTGGTCACGTTGATGGAATGTACAGTTCGCAAGCTGGTCTCCATGCTGAGTTTTATGATGATTGCTACGAGGTGCTTCAAGTTTGCATCAACTACTGTCTCGAAACTGACAACAACGAATTACTGTTTGGATACCTCTTTGATAGGTTAGTTGGGGAGTAAGTAGGCTGGTTGTCAAGTTTCTGCCTGGTCAGATTGTCATGTCAAACATGTGATGGCTTTATGATCTTCTTGTATTTTTGACTTCATTTTTTGACGAACCATTCGCGTTTTACACATTACGAGTTACAGCAAAGTTAATAATAATGTTATCAATAATGTGTAGATTAAAATATTTTTATAGCTTCACATGTTAACTGTTTTACTGCATCTTTGTCAATTATAAACTCGTTCTTCTTCCATTTTCGTTAATCTCAGGTTCTCGGAAAACGAGGTGACGAAGGAGTTATATCTGGAGAGTTTGGAGCCAGAAATAATGGATAAGAATTTGACATACATCAGTCCTTGGGTCATGAAATGTTTTGTGGATCATTATGAAAGGAAGGGAATGATGCAGAATGTTGAGGCGTGCATCCTGCATCTCGACATCATGAGTCTCGATATCCATCAGGTTTCTAGTTTTGTGTCTTTTCTTGTCGTGTTTGACTGTTTGTATGTGTGGTGTGCGTGTGGTGTGTGTGTGTGTGCGTATTTAATATGTGTTCTTGTGTTAATTTATGGTTTTTTACATTTGTACATGTATATATTCTTGTAGAGTTGATCTGTTGTTCTGCAGTATCGACTGCAAACATTGAACAGTTACAAAAACCTGTGTAAATAAAAGTATTTATTATGGTTATATGAATGAATGACGAAACACAGATCATGTCTCTATGCTGGATGCACGGCTTGTTCGACACCATCCTCTACATATACAACAAGGCCATGCGTGACTTCATCACGCCCCTGACCAGTCTCCTCGATCGACTGACCAGTCAGATGGCCTCCTTGAGATCCATTCCAACCAATCACGGAGCAGCAGCTGATCCAGCTGCTGAGGAGGATAAGCAGCTGTACGACAACGTGACGAATATGGGCAATAAGATTCTTGTGTACATCAGTTGCTGCCTTTGCGGTCGAGGCTATCTTCATGGAGAGCTTGATGCCGGTTGGTGTGGATTTTTAATGTATTTTTGTTGTTTTGGAGTGCTCCTGTGCATTTGAAGAAATGGTGCTATGAGGTATTACTGGTATTGTTGCTGGTACATAAAATAGCCTGGTACCAACCATTTTTGTTGACGAATATAATGAATTGTAAATCAGTTGTATATTATGTGCTTATAACCCTAATGGCTTTTACTTGATTTTTAAAGTTCATATTCGATTTTATATTTTTCAGTTGAATGATTTAATGACAAAAATGTTGAAATTTGTAGAGATGATAATATCCAATTAAGCGTTTGATGTATTCACAGAGGATGTTCCGAAAGTGCGCAACCAGGTCATCCTTGCCATCACATCACTTCACAGTCAGCAGAGTAATCTTTCTGAGTCGACATACCCCTACCTACGCACTCTCATCAACTTCAACGCCAGGGATTTCTTCAACGTCTTGTCTCTGGCGTTTGAGGGAGACAGATTCAATGGCAAGGAAAAACAAAGAGTTGTCGATATTCTGCTTCTCCTTATGGTCGAAGGTGTTGGCTTCAACTCTTCACAGGTCAGTTTGGAAATAATCATTCATTCACCGGACTTTAGTCTATCACGTTTAAAACTATTTTGTTGAACCACTGGTAGATTGGCATCTTGTTTGTGTTCCTGGCTCGTCAGATCAGTCAGAAAGGAAACAGCATCCAAGTGAAATCCATCTTGTTCGATCAAGTCCTCGAGTCCCTCTGCTCTCCAGACCAAGATAATTCTAAGCACGAGGAGCGTCAACAACTTCTTCTCGAACTTCTTAACACTGGAGTTCTTCATAGCTTCCACGGAAACAGAGATGAACTGAAACTCGTCTTGATGGCCGAATCAGCTGGATTTTACAGAGTTGTGGAATCACTGCATATAAAAAAGAGGAGATTTCATTTGGCCTTTTCTTGCTATTTGAAAGATTTAGCGAGGAAAATGAAGATTTTCAATTTTGTTGATATGGTTTTAAAAGATGAATCAATTACGAAGAAGGAGAAGGAATTAGTGTGGAAGGAAGCAGTGGAGAACTTGGATAAGTTGGTGGTGATCGATAAGTTGAAGACTGCTCATCTGGTATACAACGTGATGGGTAAGGAGGGCTTTGTCACGGTTTTGAATCTTATGAATTCTGATAGTAGAATCCTCTTTGACTTTCTACAAGTTTGAAGTTTTTTGATGTTTTATTAATCTCAAATGAATTTTAAAATGACTTCTTTTTATTGTGTCCTCGCCTGTAGCATCAGTTGTAAAAAGTTATTCTATAACCAAAAGCTGAATTATCAAATGTAGTTCAGTAAATAATAAATCTCATTAACTGTAAAATTTATGTTTATTAAATTCAGGGTGTGTTTGAATTGACTGGTCCGTCAGTTGTCAAACAAGAAGTTGAGGTTGGAAGTCGCAAATTCATGAAGGTCGACGGGCGGCTGTACGAGAAGTATGTTGAGCTGGCGTGCGAGTTTAGGAAAAACGAAGAAGAAATTATTGAATTTCTGCGTTCGCACACGGACTACAGTACAGACCTGGTGCTGAGTGTCGTTAAAAAGAATAATTACAAGGAGGTCACCTGCTTCCTTCTCGAAGAGTCTGGAGATTATTCGGGGGCGTTTGATTTGAAAATGAACATAGCTCAGGGAATCTGCACAGGCAACGATGCTCATCAAATTGAGAGCAACATCTGGAGTATTGTGAAATATTTACAGAGGAACAACAAACATTTCTCTACAGACCTAAGACACAAATGTTGGCATCAGCTGCTTGACCTGGTTCTTCAAAAGCAGGAAGATGTCTCGCTAGAAATGTACGAAGATGACAACAGAATATCGACAGAGCAAATTAAGATATTAACATCGCAAGTGATGACGGCATGCATGCCCTTCCTGCCACCTGGACTCATCCTTCAAAGGGTTCTTTCCAGTCCATGCTACTCGTCCGGTAGGTACGGAGATTTGAAAAGTCTGCTCAATAACATGATGGACTCGTGCAATTATGAACGGGTACTCATAAAGACGTGTGCCAACCTATTCGATAGAGATTACCATTCACAGCTCTCTCGAATGCTCAAGACGACCACCATGGCAACTAAACTGAAGGCATCCAGGTGCTATCTCTGTTTCAAAGACATGACCTATCGCTCGTCCTCTTCATCAGCATCAGCGGCTCTGAATGACGATTCAATCATTTGCTTCCAATGTGGTCACGGGTACCACTGCCGCTGCCTGTCATCGATCGGTCTGCGAAGGAAAAGTGTCAGTAACGATGCTGAAGGTGGAAGTGACGATTGGATCTGTTACATTTGTTGTGAAAGTGCTTCAAAGAGTCCATCGTCTCCAGGCTACAGTATTAACAACATCCACATTCCGGTTAATGGTACAACTGACGGAAGCAATCAGCGAGATGAACGTTCTACATTTGAAGACACGACCGACCAACATGATCACCACCAACAACTGAACCAAGCACAACTGGACGCACTGCAGAATTTGAGGGCATCTCAAAAAAGTAGGCCAGGTTTGTCGACGTTGATGGAGCTGAAGAAATATGCGACAGACAAACAAAAAACTAAAAATGTAAATGAAAGAACAATTATATGGAACTGATCGTAACGTATATGTGTATTTTTTTTTACATTTCGTCAAATCAAAATGTTTTTCTTCTAGGCACCTTTAAATAATTTTTTTAAATATGTATTAAAATCTGTTAAGATTATTGTAAATAAGAACTTGTTCAAACATTTTGTTGCTTATTGTCTGGAAACAACAGAAGCGATTATAACGTTATTGTCTCTCGAACTTTGTGTTAGGCACTGGATTCGTTGCGATATTTCGATTAGAAGTCGTTCGTGTGTTACATAGCACAAATAGTGATCAACTTTCTTCCAAATCTACTCTGTAACACAGGATGAACTCATTGTCCCTTGTTACAAAATTTATTTCTTGAAAAATGCTTTTTATAGTTTTATATTCCCATTAGATTTCAATCCATAAAAATTTTCCGCTTTAAAAACATTTTTTAGATTTTTTGTTTTAGTGTTTCAAACGTAATTAAAAATCATTTTCAAAAATACTTCTATCTCCATATCTTGTTCTCTTGCACTGGCTACTTATAAAATATAGAATAATTTTTAAAATTTGTACGTTCATGTATAAGTCTCAATCTAAATTATTTCCTAAGTATTCATCAGATATATTAATTGAACCTAAACGCTCCGGTTTACGATCGTCTTCTTCTCGCTTTTCTTTAACTCGTTTTAAACACTCTTCTGCCAAATCTGCTTTTGCTTTTTTTGGTCCTTTTCTCTGAAACTCTCTACCTACTTCACTGACTACTTCTCCATCACTTGCGAAGTTCAGAGCGGATCTCAAGACCCATCTGTTTTCAAAATTCATTGAGGAGCGCTGTTGAACATCGCGGAAATAGCGCTTTATAAGCTAATTGATGTATTGATTGATTGATTAATTGATATGTCTAGTACTTCATCATAAAGCTACACTAAATGATATTCGGAACGATAAACTGCATTTATTTAAATGATAAACTTCAAAATAAAACAAATGTTAGAAAACAAAATCTTGGACACCGATCTTTCTGCAACACTCGATAGTCTTAACCTCGCTGGGGCATTACGCAATAGGTACTCAGATGGCCCTTAAGAGACTTTATGGGAGTGGTGCAATGTATCCAATGGACCAAATTTGAAGTAATGAAAACAGGATGATTGGGTGGCTTGATGGCCTAGGGGCTAAGGTCGCCTGGTGCTGTTTTATAGAGCGTGCAGTAACCCGGTTCGAATATGACGAAACGATACCCGCCTATCACTTGCTTCGTGTGTGGTGCGTCGTTGAGCATGTATTCGTCTACGTTGTTTGTATGCTGTTGATTTCCCTGAACCTAGGAAGTAAACCTAGGAAGAGTCTAAATGACTTTTAACATTTTTTGATGAATTGAGAGCGCCAGAGGTATACCTCAGTCCTAAAACGAGTGCTTCTGATGTCCTTAAAATCTTAAATGTATTTCCTTTGTATTTAACGTTTTCTGTGTCAGTACAGTAGATAGTGGCGAGCGACGTTTTTTTTCGAAATTTAAGTTTGTTAAAGAGACTATCCCCAGCCCTCAGTGAGGCATGTCAATCTTTTTTTTAGCTTCATTATTTATCGAACATGAAATATTTGATTCCGTTCATTAGGACAAACTTGTAAAAAATTGTCGTCACTTAAATCTGGAAAGATAAAGTTTCAAAAAGAAATTCAGAAAAAGTTTTTGTTAAGTCATCTAAAACGTCTACTATTAAAAACATGAAGAAGGGTGCCGGGATTCGGTGTCTGGCTAGTGCTACGTTAGTGCTGATTAGTGACGTATTTATTTTCGTTAGCACCCCTCCCTACCACGGGGAACCTTTGAGGGGATGGAAAAATTAGTAGTCCCCAAATTTTCACTCTGTAAATTCCAAGTTAAAATAAGATGCCTTCTAAGTTGAAAGCAGCATTAACAATTTGTTTTTCAAATCTTTTTTAAAATTTATGTAACAATACTGAAAAAATGTTAAATGTAAATATTCAAACAAATTTTAAACAATTATTCATATCAAAAATAAGCTATGTTGTCCAACGACATAAATGATTTTCAAAAGTTCTTCACAATACGGAATGAAATAATGTGGAATGATGTAGATGACTTTATGACTAGAATATACCAAAACAAAACAAACAAGTACATCAACACAAACATTCTAAATTGAGTTTATTTAAATAAATTATATGTACATAAAATAAGTTATACATAATATATATTATATTTAAAAAAAACATTTCACACTCAGATAATTCGTTATATTTTGTTGAGTTATATTGTTTGCAAGATTGTATTAAATCGCGTTTTCTTGTTAAAGGGTTTAGCAATAACATCGCAAACTATAATGAATTATAAAGTTAAAGAGATGGTACCAGTCTTTTGATTCATCTTTTATTCTTTTCGATCAAATCACAGATTATTATGATTACTTTCAATTTCTTCTAGATTAACTATAAATGCACAGAAAAATAGCAAATTTGCCATAATTATGGCTATTCAAGCTCGTTTGAGCTTCTGTGTATCCCAGATTTGTCTAAATAAAAGTTAGTTGGTGGGCGAGTTAGTTGATTTAGTTTGTTAGCTAGAAGAGGTTGAAAGTAATCATAATAATCTTTGTGAGCTGATCGAAAAGGATAAAAGATGAATATAAAGAAAAGGTTATGGCTTCGCTGTTTCATCTCTCCTTAACTTTGTAATTTCTTATCAATTGCTATCGCTAATTCCTTTCGCAAGAGAACACGATATCATACAACCAAGCTAACAATATAACTCAATAAAATCTACAGAATCACCTTAGTGGTGAGCGTTATATTAATATACACACATATACTGAATAAAGAAGAAGAGATGGAAGAGAAAGAGAGAGAAAGAGAAAGAAGGAAAAAAAGATAAAGACCATTTAAATGCAAAGGATTAGAAAGAGAAAGAGAAAGAGAGAGAGAGAGAGAGAGAGAGAGAGAGAGAGAGAGAGATGAAAATGAGATAGAGAGAAAAACGATGATTAGGGAAAAGTTTATATGCAAACAAGCCGTATTTTAAATAACATTCGATTTGAGTAATGACTGTTTGGAATGTTGAAAAGTAAGGTTTGAGTAGGACAGCTCAGACAACAAAACTAGTTATACTTAACAATTTTTTTCAGTTTGTTACTCAATAAATCTTCAAATTTGTATAAACAGAATTGTCAAAAAATATTGTCGGTAATTAATAAATTAATCGCGTCAACGTTAATATGCGTTATATAAATAAATATATAAATAAATAAATTTATATATATATATATATACACATATATATATATATATTCAAATAATAAATAATACTTTTGTGTGTGAAATATAATTGAACGTGTTCACTCGTCAGTTGGGAGGTTGAGGAGTCACAACTGCAACGTTGCTTGTTTCAACTCTTGAACATGTCACAAAGCAACTTTTCCATTGGCATGTTTCCTATAGCTCTTCTGAAAAAAAGGTTTTCAATTCTTTCCGATGGAACCATTCGTAAAAGAGGAAGCAGCAGTAGGAGCCTGCCAAACCTGAAAAATTGATTTGTTGAAATGTGTTACGTATGGTGGATCAGTCTGCATGGGTCACAAGCACTTTTACTCGGTAAGAAGGACTGAGCTGAAGTTGCATTAAATCGTAAAAAAGAGGGCAAAACATGAAATCATGCTAGTTGTGCTTCAGGTAACGCTTGAGTAACCTAACTAAACGCCGAACATATTACTGTCTAGAACTGTGATAAAGAGTTAGTTGAAAATTGTAATGTATCGATCTATCTGCAAGAAATTGGTAAAAATAAAGACAGAGATATAAACATTTTGAGCCAAATGTGGAGGGTAGACACTGATGTTTTCTATAATCAGTTGACCAAACGACTTTTTTAAAATAATTGTAAAAATAAGATTTACATTTGTTAACAAAACGAGTTATTTAACAATTATATTTGTTTAGTTTTGAGCGGTGGTGTGATACTAAATAGCACCAGGTCCATCCTTTGATGTTTGATCCAGTTTGGATTGAAAGATATCTAAGCCTATTTCACTCAAATGACGGATAATAAGTCAACGTTAAGTGCATGGTTTGTAGCTGAAAGTTCTTCGGAAAGAACTATACATTCATAATTTACTTGAATATGTCAAACATAATAAAAACATTAAAAAAATTTTGAAACTTTAAAATTAAAAGGGTTTCACCTGACAGGCTGAGAAGGATATTGTGAGCGAGTGTGCTGACCCAACATTACCTGGGCTTGATCCTGCAGGTTCTCCACCTGGCGCGGGTCTTTCAAGCCGCGCGTTTCTGTTTGAAAGTCGTTAAAATGAATTAGCCGACAATCGACGGCGAAGTTTAAATGAGTGTTATCTAAAAAATTTTTTCACGCCAATTGTTAGAGAGAAAAAAGCGCGCCGTGTTTTTCAATTTAGTAGGCATGACAACGTCCAACGAAAGTGTCGAGTTTATTTAAACTGAAAAATCGTCGTAACTGGACAACCACCACCACATATCAATGCATTTTTATTAAAATACGCTCAACAATTTTACAAAAGTTTATTATTTGATCGTTTGTATTTTTATGTAAGTGTTTTACCACTGATGTCTTATTTGTTTAATAAGACATCAATGGTTTCAATATATAATTAACCTTAATCTCAGAGTTAATATTTAATTTATTATTGTTACGTTTTGCATATATATTTTAAATAGAATTCTAAATATTTAACAAATTGAAACACTGTAATAAAGGAGGCAGACTTCTTAAAATTTGAAAAGGGAAGAGTCGAATAGAGTTAGAAAAGAACACAAACGTTTACACACACACTCACTGACCAGGTTTAAAAAGAACAATGGCCTTGTGACAGGCGAACTCAGGTGGGTCAACTTGGAGCAGACGAAACCTGGAGGAAAGTTCCTGAAGAATGCGCATGTCTGAATGCGCCTGGAGATGTGCCTTGCTGTTGAGCAGCGGAGATGGGTGGTTGGCGTTGGAGGGGGGATGGTCGGGGATGGTGAAAAGGGGGGATGTCTCCATCGGCATGCTCCACTGGATGGCGCACAAGAGGAAGAGTTCGGACCAGGACTCTTCAAGGAGGATCACCTGTTGTTGAGATGGTGGGATGATCTTGGGATGACATCGGGGTTATCCAATAAAATTATTTGTGCTAATGTACTAATTTCGCGGAGTGTGGTGACAGTGACATGGTGGAATGTGATGACGTGTTGATGATTTAATGACGTTAGGACGATGAATGGTGCAATGAAGACGCTGGAATCATGTACACCTCCCAACGCAATGAATGCACACAACACCACAACACAATGTACCTTACCAGGGGGCCAGGGACTCTGGCTCCCCCCGTTGTGAGCTTTATTTGTTTTAAAAGTTAGCAAAGTCGTTGTTTTAACGGATAAAGTAGCGTTTTTGAAGAGAAAACTGACATTATAAGTCCATTTACAGGAAATTGCCCCCCCGTCAAAATGTTAGCCGCCCCCGTGAGCACAAAAAATTTTTCGAAATAAACTTGTAAAAATTCCTCCTACCTCCGGTCATCGCCATTTTTTGAAAAATCCTCCAATGGTCGTCAACTTTTCTTAAAAATTTCTTCCCTGTTGTCCAATATTTTTCAGACAGATCCTTGCCCCCCCCCGTTCAAAGTTGTCTAGATCCGCCACTGCACCTCACAACACAACGTACACGTACATCTCACAACACAATGCACTTTTTAAAATTAGTTTTAATTTCTAAACTAATGTGATTGAGACTTGAGATAAAGTAAAGAAGTGAGCAGTGGCGGATCTAGACAAGTTTGACGGGTGGCTAAAATTTTCAAAAATATTTAACGACCGGGAGTGAATTTTCAAAAAAAGTAGAAAGTCGACGATCGAGGGAGTGGGATTTTCAACAAAAAGTTGATGACTTCCACAAATTTTTTGGAAAAGGTTTTTAACGTTTTTATTGGGGAAGGTCAACATTTTGACGAGGAGGGCCAACTTTTCTGGTAATGTGATTAAAAATTTTCTTACCATCTTTTTATAGGCTTGTAATGACAATTTTTGCTTCCAAAACACTACTCTTCCGTCTACTCTTCCCGTCAAAACAACATTCTCTCCTAACTTTTAACACCTACAATTATTATTATTATTCATAATAATAACAATAATAATAAAAAACGTTAATAATAATAATAAACAACGCTCACAACGTGAGGGCACTGACCTCACTGACTCCCCTAGATCCGCCACTAAAAGTGAAGAGTTTTTTTGACAACATTTTGATCTAGTTACGCAAAATAAATTTGGCTTGCAAAATATCAATTGGTTCAGTTCCTTTAGACTTCATGCGTTTAAACAGTGGCCCGGTCCGTTCCGTCATGTGAATACCGAGAAATGTGATCTCTAGTTTTGCGACGAATCACATGTCTACATGGCGACGAGCAACCGGAGCAACGCAGTCACATACACTGCGTAAGTCACGCTCGCAACATTACGCACGTACTCCGCGGTTCGAAAAGGCAAATGATAATATGAACTGGCGCGCGAGTAAAATATGGATGGACACCTTTTCATTCATAACACGTTCGCCAGTGGCCTGCAGACAACAATCATTTATATTCGTTAACGTGCGTGTACAAAAGGCATGTGTGGGTGTGCCTGTGTGTGCCTGTGTCTGCGTGTGATTATGTACAAGTACATGCGGGTCTGTATGTATGTTTGCTACGTTTATTTACGATCATTTCCATGAATGTGAACGTAATCTATGGTATAACCATAAGACTTGTGAACATTTATGCAAATACACACACACACACTCACACGTACACATGCACTCACACGCTCACACACCCACAGAAATTTTGTTGTAATTAAGTTGTACAAATACAAACGAATCTCTCTCTGGGCATGTTGTTGAGAAGCGTTCTATTTGCAAACAACATCACGAACAACACAAACGCGAACGACCTCAACACGAACAACACAAACGTGAACAAAACGAAGAATGCAACATTAACAAAACGTTAATACAACACCAACCAAACATCAACAAAACGCCAACGGAACACCAACAATAAAGCAACATAACATCAACATGACTTTAACACAAGCATACCACCAACAACGACAAATAAATAACGAACAACAAAATTCTGACGAACGAACAAACAACATTTTCTGATTCGCACGCCTAATGCTGCTCAGCCATTTTTTGCGCGGATTTTATCGTCACATCGACGCATTGGTTGGACTTTGATAGGAACTCTATTGCCTGCACGTTTGTGGATGCAGCGTTTCAGTTCTGCAGTGTCGTTGCTGTTGCATTCGAGTTGTCGGATGAGTTGTGTTGTTGTAGTTGGTTTATTTTATTTATTCATTCATTTAAAGTAAATCCAGAAGCCCTCAGGGCTTGTGCGGCAACTTAACTAACAGAAATTATAGAAGTTGTTGTTGGTTGTGTTTTTGTGGAAGTAAACTTGAAAACGTACACACACACACACACACACACACACACCACACACACAACCACACAAACACATAAAAACGCACACGCACGCATAAAATCACACGAACACACATAAAATCACACAAGCACACACACACATAAAATCACACACACGCACACACACGCACACACCCAAATTTCCACACGTGCGTACACATTCTTGTAGTACGCTTGACGAATACTGCACGCATATCGATAATGAAATATAATGGAGATTAAAAGGACGACAACTTTTGCAATAACGAGCGTTGAATTAGCCAAAAATAAAAAAGAAGTAGAGATGTGCTGGATTAGCGGTCGCGCTCAAATTATCCATTTTTCACGGCAGTTCATCCCTATTTGAAGTTTATTGATGCACAGTTGTCTCCGTGAGATTATTAACTTCATGTCTCAGCTGACCGTCATGATGACGATGGTGGTGGTGATGGTGATGATGATGGTGGCGATTGTAAGTACTCTGGTGGTGGTGATGGTGGTCGTGGTGATTGTAAGTACAATGGTGGTGGTGGTGATGATTATAAAAATGAGGATGGTGATGTTGTGCTGAATATGATGGTGAGGATGATGATGATTGTAATGATGATGATGAAGATGATGATGGTGATGATTGTAATGATGATGAAGGTGATGATGATAATGTTGGTGATGATGATGAAGATGCTTAGTATAAAATGATATTACAGCCACCACCACCTTCATCGTCTCTACCATAGAAGGGGATGCAGATTCTGAAAAGACGATGGCAGTTTTTTTTTCATAGTGACAACTGTTTTGATTGTCCTCATGTTGATGATGATGAGGAGGATGGCGATGATGATGATGATGACAATGATGAAGATAGTGGTGTGGTGGTGATGATGACAACAACGATAACAATGTTGATAATGATGATATGAAGATGGTGATGATAATGATGATGATGGTGATGAAGATGGTGATGATGATGATAGTGATTATGACAGTGATGGTGATGATGGAGATGGTGATGATAAGGATGATGATGGTGATGATGATAATGGTGAACGTGATAAACTTTTTGACGTTGAAATGTTGAGACATTGTCGAGATGGTTGTGAGTGAAGCCTTGAGTGGAATGGTTGATGCTGGCCAACTGAGTGCCGTCCAAAGGACTGACCGACATCAACAACAACATCAACAACAACATCAACAATAATATCAACAACAACATCAACAACAACATCAACATCAACAACATCAACAACAACATCAACATCAACAACAACATCAACAACAACATCAACATCAACATCAACAACAACATCAACAACAACATCAACATCAACATCAACAACAACATCAACAACAACATCAACAACAACATCAACATCAACAACATCAACAACAACATCAACAACAACATCAACAACAACATCAACATCAACAACAACATCAACGACAACATCAACAACAACAACAACATCAACATCAACAACAACATCAACATCTTCATCATCAACAACAACAACATCTTCATCATCAACAACAACATTAACATCAACAACAACATCAACGCCGTCATCAACAACAACATCAACATCAGCAACAAATACAACAATCATAAGAATCTCTATTTACAAAGCAGGAATAAATATCACGTGACAGACCTGCCAGCCAATAGAGAAAGAGGGAAGTCCCGGTGAAATTATTTATAGAAACATTTAATTTGTTTTGGTTGGTCGAATGATGATGCTGATCGTGATGATTGTCAGTGATTTAGATAATGGTGATGATGTTAAAGTTATGATGATGTTATAGTGATGATGATGATGATGTAGTGATGATGACGATGTTGAAGTTATGATGATGCTGTTGTAGTGATGATGATGATGATGTGGCTATGATGATGATGTGACAATGATGATGATGTAGATAGTTATAATGGAGAATATATCGGCGGTTAAGATGATGATGATGATGATGTGATGATGAAGATGAAGAAGAAGATGATGATGATGTTATGATGATGATGTTGTGATGCTGGTTTGTGTGTGGAAGGAGGTGGCAAGTTATTTTAGTGCATTTGATTTCGTTGAAGATGTTACGCATGGATGAACGTGTGTGTGGTGGATGAGTGGTGGATGAATGTGGAAAATGTGTGTGGTGGATGTGTGGTGGATGAGTGTGGAGG